AGTTAGCGCCTGCTTCTTGACGCAGTTTGGTGATTTTCGTAATGCATGTATTTTCCACTTCGAATGTGTTTTCCTGATGACTTCTTTAGACGAAAGCTGGTTTGTTCTCTCCCATAGTAGACCGTTGCTGATGGTATGTGGTCAACGGACATCCAATGTGTTGCGAAGAAAATCATTTAGAAATAATTATACTTTTGATTATTATTGTAGTGGTTCTCAACGTTTCAGCACCGCACAGTACAACTATCTGGACGTTCGTATTGAAGATTCTTACCTTGATATTGGTTGACAGTTGTTTTAAGTTTGATATGTCGTTCAACTGTAGGAATGTTGCACTTGCCTTGCCAATCCTTGCCTTTAATTCTGTATCAGATCCTTCTCGTTTATCGATGATTCCATTTAGGTACATGAAATTTTCCACCTGTTCCAGAGTTTCACTATCATGTGTGACTTATTTGGTGTTTGCCACGTTGTATTTGAGGATGTTACTTTATCGCTTGTATATGTTGAAGACTACTAGTGCAGATGCTTCTACTTCACTGATTGTCTTGACCTACATTTGTTTGTGCGTATAGGAAAGAAGAGTCAGATCATCTGTGGAGTTCAAATCGCCTAGTTACATGCAAGCTGTCCATTGTATTCCATGCTTTAACTGAGATGTCGAGGTCTTCATAATCCAATCAACCACCAGATGGAAGAGAAAGGAGGAGAGTAAACATCATTGTCTGCCTCCGGTCCTCACTTGGAATGCGTCTATCAGCTGTCCCCTATGCACGACTTCGCAGTGTAGGCCATTGCACTAGTACCGGATGACGTTGGCAATATTCTCAGGTACACCATAGTGTCGAAGTAGGTTCTATAATGTTCTCCTATCACGCTGTCCAACGCTTCCTCATAATCAAGGCATTTGATAAGAGTGGTACTTTCCACTCAACTGATTGTTCAACATTGATCCATAGTGTCGTGATTTGATCTGTTAACGGTCGACGCGTACGCAATAAAGTCTGATGATCTCACAGCTGAACGTTTATTGTGTCTTTCATCTGGTTCAGCAACACTGTTGAGAACTTTTCCTTGTACCAATAGTAATGTGATGCCTGTGTAGTTCCCACACTTGTTGAGATTTCCCTTCTTTTGTATACTGATGAGGTATGTCTCTTTCGAATCTGTCGACACTTGTTCTTCCTCCTCAAACTATCTGAATAGAATGTGGGGCATGTTTGCACTTGTGGTTTTCGGAGAATCTCTGCTTTTACTTTTAGATGAAGACCCCCCAGCTTTCAGGACAGACTTTAATTGGTTTAATATTTATTCTGGTCAGTATATTTTCTCAAAGGTTTTTCTACATGACAGGGTTGATAACTTTTTATCCCACCCCCTTCTTTATCCGTGCTAGGGACCATGAATTACCCCAAGAATATTTAAAGGGGATTTGTGCTGAATATTAAATTTATCAGTGGCTGCAACGAGTTGTTTGTGTGAACATATAAGATGATATAAAAACCTTAAACGTATTTCTCAGTCTTCAAATAATGCGTGGTAGTTTTATGTTGGCTGGATTTCCTCCACAAACGTGGAATGTTGTAACCATTGACGTTTGCCACCATGGTGTTTATCAGCATTGATAACTAGCAGACCTAAAGCCTTCCGTCATTTTTTATTTGACGAGCATTTATGACTAGAGACAGATGCTCGTGCCACCAAATGTCCTGATACTGCCGATGGTGGGGGGAGATAACTCTCACTCCTAAAATGCTCTCACATGGCCACGTGTATACAGCCAACCCCACAGAAATCCTGCTCACTGCCTTCTCGTGACGGGGGCGATGTTTACGAAGTTGAGAGGACGAAAGGTGAATGTCCGGCACCTTGATTACCCAGGTAGTATTGCAGCCCACACACAAATCAAGTGATTTATGTGGTGCATTTGTATTGGATGGCCTTTTTTACCAATATTTATATTTTCGAACAATTAAAAATTGGTAAACATAGGACCTTTGTCAAATCAACTATTTTCTCCATCATATTTTTTATAAATACGTCGAAGGATCGCATTTTAAAGTTTGGTTTTTAGTTGTTTGTAAAGCAAACACAACAACAGTTTTCAATAAGGTCAAATGTCACTAACAATCTTTCCATGTACTCAGCTTAAAGTAGTCTAGGGATCAAATCTTATTATAAATTATATTCTTGTTCTAGTAGTTTCCTAACCCAATTTATACATGCGTGATTATGTCTGTGAGCTGACGTGAATTCTGTATCCAATTTCAGAATGCATTAACATTCTTACCATAGAACATCCGTCCTATTAAATATATTTGTCTTTGTGACAAAATTGTTCTATTGCACGCCAGAATATCTTAAGTGTATAACGAGAATGCAAATTCCTAAGTTTTCAGTGTTTATACATTGCCGTCAGTCTTGTATAAGTGTTCACTCTGTACCGAAATTTATCCCACATTAGCTTCACTGACCTGAATATAATACGGAAGCTAAAGAGAGGGTAGGACTCTCTGTGACTAGTTGCTCGCCTCACGATTCTTGTTTCTGCCGAGATCAACACGGCATGAACCAAATGCTTACCCGCAAATTTGAATCATAGAACAACCTTTTGCCTCCCAGGATAATCTGCCAAACCATCAAGAGCATCACTTAGGCTGAGTTTAACCATGTACGGTACGTGCTTCATACCTAGTTCTGCTTGTTAAAGGACGACCCAATAAAATGAAGCTTTCATCCCGTCTGCATTATCTAGTCTAATCATAACAGATAACTTTATACGTTGGGGGCTATAGATATCAGTAGTTAGACTTATACGACGTTTGACATTTCGTTTCTAAATGTTTTGTATCCAATATACATCTTCGCATTTTTTGTAAGGTTTTAAGTCATACATTACTAGTGTCAGCCGAGTTGACTTTACTTCTTTTGTCACTCAATACTTTCGTTCTCATGAGATGAACTAATTTCACACACACGGAAAACGTTCATATGTAACCACAGCGTATCGTTTTGAAAACTCCATCAGTTTCGTGGATAAAAGAAGCATGTTAGAAAATTTTATAGCACGTTTCAGTTTTATTTAATAAAGTCCATAGTGTTCGCATTAATTATCGCTCTTCCACAACTGTGCTACGATACCCTTGACTTAAGATACCATATGTTGCTTCTGAATTATCAGGCTACAAATTATGAAGAGTGATTTTTAGGTAAATTTTGTGTTTTTAACGATTTGCAAGATTGTAAAATTGTTAAATGCTAATTAAGAGAAGGCTTCATTACATACCCGACTTGAATTATCTATCCAAGCCACCATGTCTGATATTCACATCTCACTATTATCGTACATACAAATTAAATTCTATCCTTTCGCACTACTAGGTTACATTTTTTCATCTTTGACCCTGGACGGATACACAACTTTTCAAACATGTCACTTATAACTCACCTTGACCGAAATGACGTGACATTGAATTAGTCGGACTTGCTTTTTTTGATTGATCGCACACAATATTCTTGTGTTGATCCTTTGTGCTATTTAGACTTTGAATAATTATGATCTAGTTATTTATTCTGCGACGAAGTGGCTCATGCTGAGTTACGAAACGTCAGAAAATCCAATTTTTCTACTTATTGGGACATTACAATTATATTATTTTATTTATTGTTAAGTAACGGAAACTTAACTGATAATGTGTTGCTTACAGAATTTTTTCTCCAGTGATTCATTAAGATGGACATTAATATCATCCAATTACACTTTCTGTCCTTGAGTAATAAAATTTCCTCAGTAGTGTTTTATTTTTAAACTACTAGAATTAGCATCCTCAGGCTTTCGGATATTTGTTTGATCACAGCAAGCTGTTATCCGCAAGTTCGACAACCGATCTATTTTATTACACTTACGATTTTGTTTACCACTGTCGCTGTAACTATTTTATTCACACTGACATCTTACACTATTACAACAACAACAACAACTACTACTACTACGGACTAGAAACATACTGATGCACATATGCATTTGGTTATACGATACATACGATTAAACGATGGCTCACCACCCATTCACATACTCTTCGTTTCTTATTATTTGCCTCAAAATTACCAGGATATCCAAATAAGTAGCGAATTCGATTTCCTGGATAACGTGAGACTCTAGCTTGTCCTCCTGCTGATCTGTCTAGATCTAAACTCCCAGATTTTTGATGTCAAAAATGATGCTTTGTCAACTGGACACTACTGCTTCTTTTATATTGATTTCATTCTATTCAGCAATGCGTTCTTTGGGCTGCCTTTTTTGGTTACTTTTATTATAATACTCTTATGTGAACTTATTGCTTTGAATCTATTGTTTTGAAGTAGATATGCGTTTATTGTCTTTAAAACACAACCAAAAACGTCTGATCCTAAGCAAAACACTTTCTTCCTATATCGTGTGACTAGTTCATTGTATTCGCTCACATTATTTTTTGTATCAGTTTTTAGATGAACGTTTTCCCTAATGGCTATCTTTTGTGAAGAATTAATATCTGCGACTTATGTCTGTGAACATGGATGCAAGTTATGTATCGAATATGTGTCCAGAGCAATATGTTCATAATGATCTAGAAGAAAGAGGCGCAAATGAATATAAGCTGACGACCTGGCCCAAAAAGTGAATTTCGGTCTGCAGTGGAACTAAGCAATAAAATTAAGAATAAAATAAGAAGGAATCTCCGAAAGTAGGACATTCAAGCTCCGACGATCATAGAATAAATTAAACACGTGGTAAACTGACAGTCATTTCTTAAAATAAAATCACCTCAGCAGTTATGCCTGTTCAGTAACATTAATTGTATCAATATCGTCATCAGACTCACGAAATTACGGAAAGTCAGGTTCTTATGTTGAAAAAACTTGACTTTATGTTTTAGCCTTGATAAGTACAAGACTTAAGAGTCATTTTACTTAGTACTTTTGAGCGCGTTTTTTAAAAGTGCTTTGCCCATCAGGGTCGCGTGTTCTTTGGTGGGTTTTTTGACTTGTTGTTTTTGTCTTCGTTGTCCGTATTAGGATAAAGCTAGAGCTGTTGAAATTAAAATAAATTTCCCGAAAACCAAAATTTTCGAAAACCTAAGGAAAATCCACAAAGTTTCATAAGATTCTGGAAAAATAATGACGAAAATCCCAAATGTTCTGGGAAAATTTCGGTCTTTCTCTAATATTTTCCCAGAATCTTATAAAATTTTGGGGTTTTTCCCCAAGATAGTGATATTGGGGTATGCTTCCTGAGGCGAAATGATCCTATTTATTATTACGAAATTTTTGATCTCACAGCAGTAAAGATTACTTACTATGCATACCGTGGAGTGTTTCCATTTAGTTAAGTAAAATAGTGCCTTGATATTATAATTCTGCGTCTCTGAGATATTGTTTCATGTCTGTAGTCCCCCTAAACGATCAAGGGATCCAAATTATATCTTTCTTAACATTTCAATGTGCAGATCTACATGAATTTTCGCCTTTACCCCTTCTTAACCTTGATGTGATATCACATTGAAATTGGAAAAGTTCTTTTGCTTGCCACTCTACGAGTCAGGTTTTTCAACGATTGTCATTATTATATCAATAATCCCTCTAAAAGCCTTTCTACGATGGGTATTATGCAGTCAACCTCGTCCCAGCTCTAAACACCTACTCAGTAGTTTAGGTTTTTCTTAGTATAGTATGCATTTAAGAAATAAAGTGGAAGATACTTGATCTTATCAAGTTTTCTTCAAATTGACATCCCATGTTTAAGTAAAACATTTCTTGGCACAATTTCTAGTAACGAGTTACACTAGTTATATATATTCGTAAATCATTTCCATATTTCGGAATTTTTCGCCAAATAATATTTTTCACTTTGGTTTCTTTATATGTCGTCCGATTTCTTGTTTAGTCTTTTACGTCCAACATTAATTTCTAGTGAGGTTTTGGCGAAAGGAAACAAAAACATTGAGTTGTTTAGTTTGAGTGGTGCGCTCTCTACTGTTGCCTGAATGGTCCGGAATTATTGGAGTTAGACTAATTTGAAAAAAGTCCTTAGTATGCAATCACAGATTTTCTCAAAGCTGTGTACACAAGTCTTGTCTAGCGTACATAGTCAGTTAAGAAAAATAAGCCAAAAAGTGTTTTGTACTAATTCGCCCTCTTTAAAATTTCATCTCATTCTTGTAATCTAGGCTAGATTCACTTATAGGCCTGTAATTATTAGAACTACGTTACGAATAACATTTATTCTATGGGTCCTTTTCATATCATCAACAATCACTTTTTTACCAATAATAAAAACGAAGGCTGTGCAATATCAGTTCTATTTGTCTCTTGTCTTCTGTATGGTCCATCTAGTCATTTTCCATTCAATTTCATTTATTACAGGTGTCTCGTCTGCTATCGTTGTTGGTTAAAAATTAAACAGTGAAAAATGGCTTTTTTCACCTCCAAAAATCAAAAACTAGCTTCTTCCTTTGGGTCAGAAAAACTCGAGTAAGTCTCAAGTAAGATGGTGAAGGTAAAAGAAGACAATGGTTACGTCTCCATAGGATCCTAATGATGTAGATAAGTAGGTCTTTGATGTTTCGGCACTTGAAAATAGTTTGATTTCAAAATAAATAACCACCGGTTAACGCTTCAGCGGTGAAAGACACCAAGCGAATGAAACAAGTTATCGCTGTGTCTTACCACGACGCGCAACTCTGACTAGTGTTGGGGATGGTTGGAAAAACGTTAGGGGCGGCCGAACCAAAACGTGGCATCAGTCCTTGGAGTCACTAACTTCTGGTCTGTGTCATGTTGGTAGATGCAGACTACTTGGTTGGGGTCCGCGTGACTATCGTAACCAATGGTTGGAGACCCTGGGTTACATGGCTGAGAATCTATCACAGTGGCGTCGGTGTATACACTATTTGTCTGTCCTTAAACTGTGAAATTAAAGTTGCTTCATACATTTCTTTCTATGAACGATTTTTTTGTACTATATCCTTATATGAAATCTTTTATATATTACCATCATCGAATTAACTTATGAATTTGTTGTTCATCTTGTTGTGTTAATGAGGTGTGGCAACTTGGACCGACTGACTGACTGTGTATTAAAACTATCGATCGAATGTGACACTGCACTGTTAAAGTGTAGTGTATAGTGTGAAGGAATGTGATTATTTGTAAAGATATACATTCAGCGAAAAGAGAATGTGGTCGTAAAATGTCACGGTTTTGCAAGAACATACTTTTTACCACGTATAGTCCGTCGAAAGAACGGTCGAATCAAAGCTATATTGAAAATTATAGCTAGGAATATTGATTTAGAATTCATTGTGGTTGAGTTATTATTTGTGTGGTCTGTCGGCTCTAGTTTTCTACACTGTTTCACTAGAAACATATTAGGTGTTGAAGAAAATGCTCGTCTTCAACTATCCATGCGATGTTTTATATTTTGATTTCCTAGTGGTCAAAACGCTGCTTTCAAGCACTCGGTCACCGGCTTGAACTCCCCTTCACCTACTTTAATTTAGGCGAATGGATAATATTACTGGTCCTTACAGAATAAGTGTGACTAAAGCTAAACACATATTTACTTTAACATCTGACTAGAGTCCGTGAAGAGCGAACTCGAAAAAACCAAGCTGATTTCAGACCTGAGTGTGTATGTATGGACCACATATTCACTGTTTGACTGGTTCTGGAACATGGACATAATTTTCGACTTTTGAAAGTACATGCACTCACTTGTTGACTGATAATACGCAGATGATATAATTCTATTTGGTGGACGCTGAAAAATTTGGAGTCTTCTGACCTCCATAATCAACAATTCAAGCATGTTTGGGATACGGTTCTTTCCCTCCAAGTGCAAAGTGTCAATTCAGGATTTGCTTGTGTAATCGCCCGAATTAATGATAGGAAGTGAAGTAGTTGAGCGTGTTGACTGCTTCACTTAGCTTAGGAGTCTCATTGGTACTGATAGTCCGGTATCTGACGAAATCTCGACACGAATTCAGAAGGCTCGATTGGCTTTTACCAAGTTGCTTCACTTGTAGCGTGGGCGACACATCTGTCTGCCAACTGAAGGACGAGTTTACTGTACAGCAGTTCACTCCGTCCTACTTTATCGATGTAAAGCATGGCCGATAAGAATAAAGGATATTCTCAAACTACTAGTCTTCGATCATAGGTGTCTTCAAAGCATTACTTATGTATTTTGGTATTATTAAGTGAAGTCTGTATTAAGAATAGTGTACTAGGTAGTGGTGGTAAATCGATTGATGAGATTATAAATCTTCATAAAATGAGGTGGTTGGGACATGTCTTACGTATCTATAACCACGATGTGCTTCGACGAGCGATGTTGGGTGGTGTAAGAGTAGGCTGAAGAAAAGCTGAGGACGACCAAACCAAAACATGCATTTAGTCGAAGGCACTGATGATTGTACTGAGTCATGTTAATAGGTATATTTCAGTGGTCCAACGTTTAGCTGTTGATTCACATTCGAACCATACTCCAGCTACCTTGGTTTAGACGGTCGTTTGTTACCACTAGCCCCCGTACTTAGAGTGCAGCCCAAATTCAAGCCTTGAACCTGTGTTTTATAAGTTTATAATAATAGTTATAAAATATGTACAGCAATCAGTCAGTAACAACGTAGAACTTCGTACGTACGTACATCAATTCGAGTTGCCATACCACATCAGCACAGAGATGCAGCTGTCGATTCAAATACCGTAGTGGTAGAGGTAGTAAGAGTATAAGCAGTAATCGGGAAGATTAGGGTTTGGAGATGTTATTCAAAGAGTATAATCCAGTGAAATAAATTTCGAAAGAGAAAAAAGAGACAAGGAAGAATCAGGAGATTAAAATTTGGGAGAACACAAAGAGTGTATGCACCTGCGCCATTGCAAACGATATGTATAGCGTATTTGGGTTAATCAGGTTCGGTAGAAATTTAAACTAAACAGTAACTATCATTATGTAATCTACTAATTTATTTTAGTATTTGATGTGTGGGACTGAAAGTAAGAATGAATGGTCATTTAGTATGGACAGGCAGTCATAGCCTAATGACTATTAAATATGTGATTTCCTTTCCTCTCATTGATTTTTAATCCTGACTCATTGGAAGTGACTGCTTGTAATTGTGTTGAACAAAGTATTATCTAGTCGATCCTCTGGTTCTCTATTCTCGGTCGTGAATCCTGGATCTGATATAACGTGACTAGTCTCATCTCATTAACCTATTGTCGTAATATACTAGTGGAAAAAAAGTATTTTAACCATCCATTGTATCAATATTTCATCCTTATCACTGTTATGACGTGCGATTTACAGGAAACTGGTTTGTACTCACCTATTTTTTTTATTTTTCCCAAGCTAGTTATATCCAGTGATAATTCGTTGCTTGGAAACCTGCGTTTTTTTATACTTAATATTCACTTATTAAATATACTTTAATAGTAATTGTTTCTTTGCTTTCGAATGCTTTAGTTCGATCAGAAGTATCCATCGTATATAATCTCCAAAGGTTTTGCAATAGTACCGTCATCTGGTCAGGATATACACTCTACTGGTCGTTGTACATTAGCTCCTGATCAGTCAGTCCCTCGACATGTTTCTCTTGCATCATCTATTCGTTTACGAAACTCTTCTGCTTCGGAACTTCGACGAGAATTTATTAATTTTTTCCGAAGTCATCAACATTCAGTGGTAGCACCGGCTTCTGTATTTCCGAAGCGTCACGAAGGAAGCTATTTCATCAATGCAGGTTTGTAAATTGTGTGTTAAAGTTATCCAGCTTCAATTTCCATCCATCTTTTTTTAAATACAAGCACAATCATTACTAATAGTCTCTAAATAAATGTTATGAAATCTGTAGCTAATTTACTTAATCACTTCCAATTACTATTTATAACACACATGAGTCCCTACCTGTTATACGGGCAAAGTTTCCTGTGATTTGATCAGATGAAATTTTGATTGTTGAAGTCGATGAATGGAATGTCAATCGCTGAATGAACCCAATAATATAGTGCGGGCGAATGATGGTTACCCACGAGATTGTATTATTGAGTCAGGCCCTCGAATAATTAGAAGTCTAAGGTAAGACCACTAACCAGATAAGTAGTTTTCTATGTAACAAAACAACGTGCTCGTATACAGAATAAGAACACAGAATAAACATGATAAAATGTCATAGATAACTTGTAGTCACTCATTCTTCAATCAATTAAAATCTCACTGTTAAGCCTAATCTTTGGACATCCTATTACCGGCATTGTTTATCTTAGTATACCATATTTGTAAATGCACAATACAAGAACATAGGATTCCATACTATTTTTAGCATTTCATTTTTAAATTACTTGAGGATACTGTCAAAGGATTCGCTAAGATGGGAATCATTGTTTAGTGAAAGTTTTCCAATTACTCTACTGAGTAAATTTTAATTTGTCACTTTTACTACATTAAGCATTAATGTATGTTAAATAAGCTTCATTTTTACTTAGAATGCTATGTTTCTATAGTTTTCATAGAATTATCATTTTTTCATTAGGATGCACTTCATTGTCACGTAAACAATTTTTTTAGTGTCCATCGTAGATATCAACTCATACATTAGGATTGATTTCCCAGACTCATTCTCACATACTCAAAAATCAGGTTATGTAGAAAGTACTTCATCAATAATATTTGTTAAGAATTGGTGTACTTTTATTTACAGATTGTTTGCTTATGAACATAACCTTATCTCATAATCTTATATGGTCTTTCGAAACTTTGCAATACTATCATGTTATTTAATATGTTTTTATCTTGGCTACAGTTTCAGATTACCTTACTGCATTTTATATGCAGCCTTACCTCGTAGGTTTAGGGGTCTGGTGTTTTGTTAATGGGTTGCAAGTTCTATATTTTGATTTGTCGAGGTTTTAATTATCGAGTAGTATCACCATGTTTTGCTCTGTAATTCATTACAGTAACAGTATAGGGTTGTAGAGATCATTAAGTTTTTGATTGGAATCATGAACCGATTGACGTTAGACCACCATTGAAAACCTGGAAGCACTGGACCGCCCTTTCGTCCTATTGTGGGACTCCTCAGCAATGCATTCCATTAATATATTTTTATGAAATTAAATTTTTAAAAGTTACTTGTTGGTTTTCCTGTACTTTTTTTTATTCGGTCAGGATAGGTATGAACCAATTTAAATCAATTTTTCTCAACCAGTCGGATAGTATTTGTTCAGAATTTAAGCAGTTACGTCGTGCTACGAACTCACAGCCATGTATTCGAATCGGTGGTCGTCATGATGATTTAAATGATGTGGGATATGATAGGCATCATCATACAATGTTTGAAATGTTGGGCAGTTGGTCGTTCGGGGACTACTATAAGGTTTGTCTCAGTTTATGGGCGAAAATTCTGATTAGTATGGGACCAGTTAATTGTGTGTTTATTTTCACCAAATTAGTTAACTCATAATGGTTGACGATTTTGTGTTGTGTCCTAAGCGTGGAAAATAAGAGTTATCATGGATATGTTTAGTTTAGTTTATTCCGTCTTGATAAATTTCTTTAGAACAAATCATTAGTCCAAAAATTTGTATTGAATTTGCGTACACTGATATCTATTTCAAATACAATCGTGAATGCACTTAACTTATAGGCAACATCTAAATTACTGGATCACGGGTTCGAACCCCGTTTTACCGACCTCATTTTCAACAATTGGAAGCCATTCACTCTCACAAAAAACATGGCTCAAGGTTAAATAGATAAACCTTTTCTTGGTAAATGAGTTTCACTAAACATTCGTTTGATGTATTAGTTTCAATGACTATTAACTAGGAGGCCAACTGTCGCACCGTCATATTCAAAAACCGTCTTATTTATTTAGAGACAAATGCCTAATACAACGAGAATGAAATAAAAAGATATGCATGCAATTATAACCGAGCTCAGGATTTAACGAAAGAAGGTTGAATTTCCCTGCACCATTGTAACCGATTTTAAGATATATCACCCACTATCCATACCTGTTTTATTCAGAGTTATTTAGTATACCTGATTTAAACCTTTGTCTTTCAAATAATTCTATGAAAATTGTTGCTGTCTCTGTTTTTTTGCTTTTTTTTACGTGACTTTGGTATGCCTTAGAAAGAGGCTTGCTCTCAGGTTTGGAAATTTCTTACTAAGGTGTTAAACCTGCCTACCAATGCAATTTACATAACATATTTCGGTGGTGATCAAAAACTTGGACTTCCTCCAGATGATGAGACACGTGATATCTGGTTGAACTTGGGGTAAGTTGATAATCGATTGTCTAGACTAATTTTCTGGATAGTTGAACAGTTAGTTGTGAGTAATAGAAAATATTTCCGACTATATTACTTCGATTTATATGAGTATCCATCAGTAGGCGACTAATAAATGTTCGTGCAATAGACTCATGCCGTTAAAGAGCGAAATCTGAATAATCGACTAGCGTCATTAACCTCCACACAATAAATATGAAACATGAGCATGAACTTAGCTATTGAGTTTCATCTGGTTACATACTCATCACAATCACTTCAAAAACAGTGAAGTTTTTATATTCGTTTATTCGTTCACGCAGTAAAGTTTACGCGTATGATTGTGCATATTTTAAACAACGTCAATTTTTCCAAGGTGAAACTATTATAATTCAGTTTTATGCAAACTTTCTCTTACGATCATACATCGGACCCTTTTTCAAAGTGAAATAATATTTTAACTCTTAACCCACCAAACAGTTGGTGGCACCTAGTCTGTTGCGTTAAAGTTTCATCTTTTTGTGTGTACAAATTGAAAGAATTTCGTATTTTTAAATTGTTGTGGTTGTTCAGTGCATTTTGAGATCTATTACTTATTATTCCTTCTCAATTTTTTGTGGTGTGGATGTAACTAACTGATCTACCATACCGTTTTATTTTTTGTTGATCTTAGCTAAAATGTTTTTACATTAGCATGAAGCTAGGATTATCAATGTGAGGGAAGAAAAACCTACTGACGTACATTTGTTTAAATATGAATTGGAAAGTTTCCTAGTCCAGCTGGAGATAAACTTTGAGTTGTGTAGATCCAGCCTAATATTCTTCTGTTATGATAAATTGCTATTTAGGTTGTCAAGAGAAATAATCTACCTTATTTATTCCACTCTTCTACCAAACACAGGTTAGCACCCTTGAATTCGGGTGAGGGTTACAACGTACAACGTAGTGGCCGTAGTCACAGCTCCAGGAGGCAATCACCTCCACTTTCTTCTGCTAGATACTTTTATTTACCAGAGCACAAAGGACATTGAATACAACTCACGCATTATGTGGCACTTAACTCATTTACATCATACTATCATCTCGTCAATAATTGGGTTTTCTACAGTACAAAATATTTTTGCAATATGAACCCTTCGATAAGATATGAACATATTTAATAATATGATTCACTGTTTCTGACCAATACTCAAATATTAAACTTAATTTATCTTATTCCAGGGTGATGGATCAAAAATTAATGCCATTCGGTATCGAATCAAACTTTTGGCGTGCAAATCAGTGTAGTGGTGGAGGATTGTGTGGTCCGTCAACTGAAGTACACATAGATTTCAAAGCACTCTGCGGTGGAGACCAATTAGACTGTGCACGTTGTTTAGTGAATACTTCTAGCCCTCAAGTTTTGGAACTGTGGAATTGTGTTTTCATAACACATCGTATCATAGCTGATAACGATGTGACAGAGAAACATCTGAAACCTGACCTTCTTCAACCTTTAAATAAGTCATTTGTAGATACTGGAATGGGACTAGAACGACTAGCATGTGTGATGCAGGTTAGTTCATTAAAGTTTTTTGTACTTAAGTTTGCTAGTTTAATATTTATAGTAAATACTTCCTGTTACCAAAGATTTTATTAGCATATACGCTCTAAGGTGATATGCAGAGTTATTCATAACCAAAACTGTTCGGATGAATCGAACCATTTTTATGTTTTTAGGCAGACCACATAGTATTACTGTTATTGTCCTTTTAGGTTTCAGGATTTCAAACAAGCTAACTGAGATTAAACCATATCGTTTGATTTTTCTTCTACCAGTCTGTTAGGTGTACTTCGATCTTATCTGTCAAATCACTGTTTACTGCCAGTTTGGGAAAATCACTCCCGTCATTTAGTAAAGCGTACATTTTTTTTGAATAATCTTTTCTGTCCATCCGAACTACTTTATAACCTTCGTCTGGTTTTGAGATTAACAAATTGCCACTCGTTCTAAGTTCATGTGAAACTCGTTTGCACTTCTTCATCAAAATGCCTTTCGAATTATATCTGCTGCTTAAGTGCTTAAAGCAGTAATTACCTAGTGTATATTTCAACTTTTCGACATCATTGACGAAGGTACTAACTATACATTCCGTTTGTGCTTTAATTTGTAAATCCAGTGTTTATATTTGCTTCGCTGAGCCATACGCTGTAGTTCAGTTACAAATTGTGAATCATTTCTCAAAAGATTTCAATAAAGCGGAAATTCCCATTTAAACAAACCTCTATTTGAAATTATGCTGAGAATCCTTATGCTATTCAAGAGTTCGACCTAATGGGCAGACGCTGAAAAGTTATACGTCAAACAAAAATTGTTTTTTGAATTTCTTCATAAATGAAGTATTTGGAGACGAATTTTATGCAGTCGATGAATTACCAAAATTCTCAAAACAAAATGTTATTGGCTACGTGATGATGGTTGCTATAGAAAGTAAAGATAAAAAACGTATCTAGCTACTGACAAACCTAAAAATAGTTTCTGAAATTACGTTTCATCAAGCCCAGGTCAAGATGTTGGTAATTTCACCAGTTTTGATCTTACTATGGTAAAGTTAGAAGTATTATCAATCGACCCTAAGTTTTTTTATGTTAGGAAAATCTTTAGTAAGATGGAAAATATGTATACATAAACGGAATGTATAGTTAGTACCTTCGTCAATGATGTCGAAAAGTTGAAATATACACTAGGTAATTACTGCTTTAAGCACTTAAGCAGCAGATATAATTCGAAAGGCATTTTGATGAAGAAGTGCAAACGAGTTTCACATGAACTTAGAACGAGTGGCAATTTGTTAATCTCAAAACCAGACGAAGGTTATAAAGTAGTTCGGATGGACAGAAAAGATTATTCAAAAAAAAATGTACGCTTTACTAAATGACGGGAGTGATTTTCCCAAACTGGCAGTAAACAGTGATTTGACAGATAAGATCGAAGTACACCTAACAGACTGGTAGAAGAAAATCAAACGATATGGTTTAATCTCAGTTAGCTTGTTTGAAATCCTGAAACCTAAAAGGACAATAACAGTAATACTATGTGGTCTGCCTAAAAACATAAAAATGGCTTGACCCATCCATTTGGTTTGTATTATTTTACCAATTGTTTGGTCTTGTTCATTTTTCAACAATCATCTTACAGGGAATGACGTCGAATTATGATTCCTATGAAATAAATAGTTTAATGGAATTCATACATTCAAAGGCAAACTCATGTAATCCTTCTGTGCCTGTTTATCAAGGTTTATTTTTATCCAATCCTCTACAAGATGTTGAAACTAAAACAGACAAAGATCAATCAGAAATTACTCTATCTTCTCTGTGGAATAAAATATCTGGAAAATCTTCGTCTTCTGTAAGTATATCCTTAAAAGGTTTCCACTTAGATTTTTATACGTTGCTAGTTAGAGTATTGGGTACTTAATTTATAATTATTAGTTTCACTCAAATTAATCAAATATTTTAACGTTAATTTCCACAGAAAATTTTAATTTTGTATTCATTGTCGACTTTGGAAAGAAAATAAACTACATGCGACTGTTTGTTGACGAAAAAAAGATTTAAACTGTTTTGAGAACAACAATGTTATCCTTACAAACTGATAGTGTAAATATGTAAGCGGTGATCTTATACAACTAAAAATATAATTAATTAGTATCGATGATGCAAATTGTTAAGAATTGGCCATTAGAAATGAAGTATAAACACATATTGCTTTCGTGACTTAATGTTTTATGGTGTTGTTAGTTCGTTTATCATCCTTATTTATAAAGAAGTTATCAAGTTATTGGTTTTAGGAAAGTTATTCGAATTAATTTGTTATAACAATAAACCACTATTATTAAACAAATTACTGTTATAATATTATATCTCTGGAGACAAAACTCTCATTTGTGGTCTTGTAGAGTAAACCGAAGAGTCAAAGGAAACATTAATACTAGAAGTCTAAATAGCTGCGTTCCACTCTTAGTTATCACCGTGTTCTGTCGGTTGATAAGTAAGGTGAATATTATTTAAATTTCAGTGATAGTTTGCATTTTTATAAATCACCATAGACGACTGTCAAAAGTGCTTATATTACCAGTGAATTTTTGTTTCATTCATGTGCGCTTCGACTTGCCTATATAGGCTCTCTGCTCAAAATCACATCTTGCCCTTGATCATTCTTGGAAAAATTTTAACATGGACAATGATCTTGTTGATATGTGGCATCGAGATACCGCCTATCGAGTATTGGTCGATCATAGTCGTGCTTTAGCATTCGCCTTATCAGATGGTTTATTACCAGGACGTCAAGGTTTACCTCTGAAAATTCGTCAGCTTATTCATCGAGCTTTTCGTGCATCTGTTTTAACTGGTCTTGATACAGAAATAACTACGTCGGGGAAATTAAAATCTCTCCTAGGAGCTTTGGTATCCGAAGTAGCCAAAAGAGATGTTCTCAGTCTTCAGTCGTTTTTTAACACAATGGCTACCATAAGAGGACCTAGCTGTAGAAAGTCTGATGCAATAACTCCGGAACAAGTGAGCTGATTATCATATTAATGTTTATAAATTTCTTGAACTCGTACAGACCACATAAATTATATCATATTTTCCTGTTGTATACTACTGTGATTTCAGCGAATGCTTTTCCCAATTAGTTTAATGTTTTGATGTGTTTACGCTAGATGAGTGAAGTTTCACTCTCACTTTTGTAAGCGTTTATAAAATATTTATCACATAATAATATTCTCTACGACTTGTTTAACATATAATGTGCTCATTACTTTGCATTAAAATAGATTGTTTTATTTACTGGATCAACTTGGTTTTTATTTTCCTTTTTTCTTTAAGGCACTAGTTTACTACACATCTTATAGTCAATCTTAATCAACAGTATTCTTTTATTCAAACAACCTATAGCGAACAGTTTAACTGTGAAAAGATTCAGAACTGACTCATTATGTAAGGAGTTGTCAATTAACTACAATGTATTATTAAACATCATCTATTGGTTAGAATTCGATTAATTAGCTGAATATATATATATATATATATATATATATATATATATATATATATATATATATATATATATATATTCCATCCTCTTCTGATGAGTATCTGGAACAGTAATCAAATAATTTAGTGTTCAACTTCAAAATCATCGAACTTTTTTTGTATCAAAGATGCAAAAAATGACATCAATGATATTTTTATTTTATTTTCATTTATATGGTACATAACATATATTTGTTATGTGGATGAATGTTAACTGAATGACATTGTAGATTGTGGTTTCAGTATTTCGTGAATTGATTTTATTTGAAGGAAGCTGGTCATCAGTTATCAAAATGATTAGGAACAAATTCTACTAAAGAGTCACAAAGTAGAATGGAATAACCTTCCAGTGGTCTCTGGAGTTAACTGGTCTCCTCAATTTCTGTCACTCTGTGATAAAAAGCTACTTATGTTAAATTAAAATATTCGATTGGATATTTAAAATATTCATTTAAAGTACAGCTTTTAAACTCTAAAATCTTAATTGTGTGACTTTTAACTTGTTTTTTTAAAAAAGTGAATATCTATTTTTGTTAGACTTGGTTTGTTTATATCTCATTTGACAATAATCAACTCTTAATTACTACAGATGGAATCAATTATTAATGAAGAAGTGACTTCGTTTGCACCTCGTTTATTTCATATTGAAAATTCATTTAATCGATGTTTGGAAGAATGCATCGATAGGAGACAACTGTCAGGTAATATATGAAGCAGTGATGTTTGTAGAATAATTGTTTTGTTTAAACTTGCAACATAAACTTGATGAGCTGTAGGCACTGACGGATATACTTTACAAAATAATAATTATTATTACAGAGAAATAAGTCAATTGTTATAATGTGAAAATGATGCTGCTGATTAAGGGTAGCGAATTATTGATCGGACCAAAGACGCGCAAACACGTAGAACAGCCTAGGGTTCTGATTGGTCTCGCTTCTCTATCTAACCCAGCCAGTTGAGTCCAGAACACAAGTCACAGCCTCTGGGTTATGAATCCTTATATTTCAAACATACTTTGTTTATATACCAGTCAAGCAGACCACATCGTACGATAAAATAGGAAATAACATTGTACAATATTAACCAGTAGGAAAATGACACGTAAAAATAAATACTGACCAATAAGTAAATAATACCATCTCCAAGTCCAAAAATAGTATTAGACTTAATAGAATAATTTCTGGGATATTTTCCTGAATATCCCAACATCAATGGAAGTGATGGTTATGGCCAGAACAGTTCTTTAAATATATATCTTGGTTTAAATAGCAAGGAAATCTTGACTTTTGTTTTATGTCTGAACTAGTAAACTCGAATCAGTGATTTGTTTAATCTCTGGGATCCTTTCCGGGAAAATAGGCACGTACGTGAATTGAAAATGCAAACTAGGTACTTTTAATAAAATATTTACTCTTCCGTGACATCTAGTATTGATTAATGCTCGGTTTTCACATCATTACTATTTTGAAAAATACGTGGACTGTAATTTTGAGCTCAGACTAGTTTAAATGTAGGTATTCTCTACTAAATCAACAAGTCCATTTCAATCTAGTGTATGTATGCTCTTTAGTCATTTTGATTATGGGAGAAATCTATCATCTGATGATCAGTTAGTATCACATTTTTGATTAGGACTAATTTAGTGACTGATTTACTGAGTTTTACATGTAAACGTGTCACTTCCAATTCTCGTTATCAACCAGCCTTGACACAGTAGTCTGGTAAGTATAGTATTTAACTTTTAACCATTGGGTTTGAGCTTTGGCTCACGTAATTTGTGCCTTTTTTCTATATTTTGATTTGATTTTGTTTTAGATGTACACCTACTGAGTGAGCTTTTAAAGATTTATCTCCTAACTGAAGTCTTTACTATCGACTCGGAGTACACAGATGGCATACACTTGTATATCAAAGACACTGATACAATACAAAGTTGTCTGAACCTTTTGAGTGACAATTAAATACTATCCCATCTCTCATAAAATGTGATTGGGATTGATCTGGATTGATGTTTAAAGTAGCCGTAGATAGTGTAACAGTTCTGCTCAATGACCACCTCACCTTTCTCGAGAATATTATCAGTTCAGATAGGTTTTTGGCTGATAAAACCTCGGGATGAACACTAATGGGCTCCTTGGTTTTCGCTAACATGAGCTATCGTCGTAATTCTGATTTTAAAAGTAGCGTATTAACTATCCACGACAACTCATTTAAGGTGGAAATAAACCTTCCTCGGTTAAAGTGACTGAAATATGTTGCATGGATTGTTAACCCCTCTCTATTGCCATGTGGCAATATTGGTTGGCATAGGAATTGCTTGAAAGGCGGGTTGAAAAGGCTAGAATAAAATACAGCCTCGGTCCATGAAGTGTAACAACTTGAGGCGATATATATTTGTGCTAAGTTCTATTTACTGTTTATTGCTAACAGATCAGTAAGGACTTTTACTCATATTAAATGTATTTATATCATTGTGTTTTTGTATTACACTGTTCGTGCGATGTCAGATTTATCGTGATATTTCAATAATTGTGTGAATCGAGAAGTTTCTAACAAGATCAACTTAAGCATTATTGGACTACTTTTAAAATATGTATCAAACAATTAAACGTTTTTCAAATTTATCTCAGGGATACTCATTTACTTCAACATTTACTCGAAAAATATCTATAACCGAAATACGTCTTTTCAAAATGATTTTAAGTTTCGAGTTAAAGAATTACACGATTACATCGGCATATTAAGTTTGTTTGAAAATTGCTTTAGGTTTCAGATAATTGATGGAACAAATTTAAGAATAAAGGAATAGTTAACTAATGAACAGTTTAATATCAGCTATATAAGTTCTTTTAAGGAATTCAGTGAGGATACAAACATAAAAATAGCAGAATCTGCTACAAATTTGTATCATTACAGTGGAAATTAATCAAGAGGTAAAGTAAACCAGTGAAAATAATAGTAATAGTAATAACCCAGTATCTCTGGACTCTACCAGAGCAATTGCTTTTGAACCAGTACCATGTCTTTTTCTGGTTGCTGTTTATCGTTTATTCAACCTGTACTCTAATTCTAGCCACATCGGGATAAGCAGTGATAAGTTATGCATTGCACATATCTCCATCACTTTAGTCAATGAGACTTCTCAACGCCATCAGTTTATGAACTATTTTTTTTCTGGTATTATACAAATAATACCAACATTTTGTACTGAAAATTCCTGGGCAGGCGAAGTATCGTCCATTTAAGATCCTCCTATCTAGGAAGATAGAATCAGTGACGGTTTTAGTAATCCATGGGAAAAATCTTACAGTCACGACACTGCGTTGCACATGATGGTGTAACCACAACCCGTATATCGTTCACTATTTGCTTAGTAGATAAAGATAGGTATTCAGTTGTTTTACTACACATTTGGCTTACGTCGTTTTATAAGACAAAACATAAGCTATTTATCGCCTTGTATTTTTTAAAATTGTAAACGGAACTATTAAATTAGAAATCGTATCAGAAACTAGATTGGAAGATTTGCGGTTTACACCCATGTTAAGGGATAAATGTTTTTATCAGTTAAGATCATTACAAATATATCGAAGTATTTTCACCATCGGATTAATACTTCAATTCAATTGAAAGTATTTCGGCTTGCATCTGCTCACTTCTTAATAACTGGTTGAGATGTGTGTTCACAATATCACCAACACAATCCTGTAATTTGTACTTAAAAATTCAATCTTCTACAAATACCTATACAACTGCTCAAATGTTAAAAACCTACCTCATACTTTATGAGAATTTTCAACACTTACCATTTTTCTTTATCAATATTACTACTTTCATTATTTAGCTGAACAAGTAACTAAACTAATGAACGGTGATTATGGACATCATGTAAGCTGGGATATGATATGTGCACAATCATGTTGGGCTGGTCTTTTGCCACCCTTACCAATCGAAACTAACTCTCCATCGGACAAGAATAAACCACTACTGTTTAGAAATCAGAAATTAAATTCAAATGTAATTTCACGTCAGTTGCATAATTTATGTGTACCGTTTACGGATGATTCGTTTAAATATAACTGTTATCAAAAATCTGAACTGGATCCAAATGCAACTGGACAATACGGTGAGTTATAGACTGCATTACACTATCACGACATGTCAGTTTTTTATTTAAAGCTTGATTTAGATTGAAACGACTGGTATGCCGCATATTTCTTGAATCCACTAATTCTAAATTTCAAGTTCATAATTTAAGGTATTTTTCTACCAGCTTCTACTATTGCGAAATCTGAAACGTGAATCTCCAAATGGTGGTATTAAATTTATATCTGTTAAAGAAATTTCTCCAAGTGACTAGTAACAATTGGTAGATAGCTCGAAATTGTTTTATTTCATTAACTGAATGAAGAAAACATGTTTTTCTTTTAAATTTAACCCTTGATCTCCAGTAGAGAGATAGTAATCACTTATAATAAATGCTAAAGTATATGCGACCAAGAAGTAAGTCATTGAGATTCTTTTAGGTTACCTGTGGTATGTATATATTTATGCTTCATTTATTTGCTATATCTTTCAAACTTCGTTGACTCTTAAAGTTATTGATATTTAGGTCACCATATTATGAATAGGTTGAGCACGCTCCATATCATGAATGGATTTCTGTTTGGTATAGATAATAGCACATGTTTAAGCTTTGAAATCCCTTCATTATGTCTATTAATCACTTGGTTAACACAAACTTATTTAACTACAAGTGGTAGAGTAGTGTAGTACCGTAATCATCTTTGTTAATATGTCTATCCGAGTCTTGTAAATTACGCGATATTCTTGTGATAGGATATCTCAACACAATATTCATACTCAGGTTAATGAAATGAGTTTTTGATTGTCAAATCAGTTGTTTACATATTTGATGTTTGTTAGAAACAAGAGTGTATAGACACTTTTTTCGAAAACGTAGCTGTATACTTCTATATAATGTGTTTTGTTGTTATCCTTGATCAAACTGCGATAAATTCACCGAATAAGAGTAATATAACCATAGGAGCTTTCAATTTAATACATATACATTCATCTACTCCGCACCATATATTTTTCTTTGTTATAGATTTCCCAGATTGTGAAACAAAATTACTAGGATTACTTGCCATTGGTAATAAAGATACAGATTATACGTTAATTACAAAACAATCTTTATCGGATTCAAATGTCACTTCTGTCATTCAAAATCTATGCGATGCATCAAATAATGAAATTGCTAATAATTTACTCGGTTTTATTTTTGAAAAAACTAACTTTTTTACATCATGTGGTGGTCAAGATACTGATACCGGTTTTATTCACTATCCTTCTAAGGTAATTTCTATGAAACTATACTCCAAAAAGAAATATTTTGTGTGAACGTAAATAAGTATTATTATTCCTATTATTATTATTGCTATTATTATTATTATTATTATTATTATTATTATTATTATCAATAGCTTTACTCAAAATTATATTTTTGGTACAACATAGAATTCTCAGCACAAAGTATTTCAATAAATTTTGTCTTCTTATTTCTTGATCGGTCCTGACGACAAATATTGATTGATAGACAGTTAAATGTTATCACTCCAAGAGTCAACATCTGAATAATGTTTTCTTTTAAATGCATATTGCCAGCTACCACGATGTCTATCATTGTACTTTTTTGTAACTTGTATAGCAAAAGGTCGTAAACTTTACATAACTGCGCCTGAATAGGATATGCGATTAATAGAAATAATGATGTGTTAAAACAAACAAAAGCAGATAACTTGTTAAAATATCTAGATGACAGGAACAGATAGTTCAGATATTCAATCAGGTCGCCAGTTTATCTCCCTTCACGTAACTAAATATCGAGTTTACTTTTAAATTATTAGTTTTTTGGCATAACTGTAGTATGTTGCTTCACTTATTAGATTTAAATAATTAACTTACGTGTATAGTGAATGATGTAATGAAAATAAGATCAGAATCAAACTTTCATCAATTGATAAATGTAGGTTTCCCAGAGTTATTTATGTTTAAGCCTTCTTTTAATAGATCACTATCCAGTAAGTAAATTTACATTTTGTTTAATAAATAAATTGTTATCATTTTTACTATGTTGTTAAAAATTATGTATTAAAACAAATTCGGTTTAACATTTGTTACATTTTCTATCGAACAAATACTTTTTGTTAATAATCATCGGTCGACTTCACCTCTTCAGTGCATTTCAGTAAATAATAACAAAAATGTTTGACTTTTCTTAACCCACTAGTATTATGTTAGCAAACGAATGCGTTTGTATACTTCGCATAGATAAAGTTATAATATTGTAAAGAAATAAAGGAGTGACGGTTAGTAATTATATAATCTTTTCGAATTAGCTTTATGATATTTTTACGTTTTTTTCATGAGCTTCCATACCGTAACATTTTTATCCTTTGTAACACTTAATGTTTAAAAATACTATACCTGTCGTTATTTGTTTTTGATTGCCCACCTTCAGATTCTTCAATTTCAAGTTATTGAAACAACTTTTGTTTCTGATCCTATTTCGAATTCTTCAACGAATGGTTGGATTATACATTGGTGTCATAAACCAGATAATTTATTTCCTTCATTAAATAATCTAAATTTTGATCAATCTTTTGTTTTAAGTATTGATAAAGTAAGTACATTTTTTCTTGTATCATACAATATAATTTTAATGACTTAATTATAAATCCTCTGATAAATAATTCATACTTTATTTACGTGAGAATTTATCATCAGTTAACGGTCATCACAACATGATATTGTCATGAACACTTTTATGATATTATAATCTACAGGATCACTGATTATATTTATATTAATTAAAGGCATTTCAATTCTTTTTTTCTTACTATCTCCGACCTGTAATGAGCGATAGTTGTCAACACTCCTACTTTACTTTATTTACTCCTGTTATCCTTCGTGGAGGAGCATAGACCGCCCACCAGCATTCTCCATCGATCTCTGTCCTGGACAGTCCCTTTTCATGTCTGCGCCCAATTGCCGGCCTAATGTGTTCCTCGGTCTTTTTTTTCTTTTCCCTTCAGGATTCCAAATTCGCGCTTGCTTTGTGATGAAGCTTGATGATTTTCGTAATATATGTTCTATCCACTTCCAACATATTTTGCTAATTTCCTCTTCGGTGGAACCTGATTTGTTCTCCCCCACAGTAGGCCGTTGCTGATGGTATCCAGCCAACTGACATTCAGTATATTGCGTAGACAACGATTTATAAATACTTGCACCTTTTGATGATGCTTGTAGCAGTTCTCCAAGTGTCAGCTCCTTACAGTAGAACTGCCGTGACATTCGTATTGAAGATTCTTACTTTGATGTTGGTTGATAATTGTTTTGAATTCCATATGTTCTCCAGTTGTAGGAATGCTGCCTTTGATTTGTCAATTCTTGCATTTACGTTCACCTCTTGAAGAGCTTCTCCATCAGATGTGATTGGGTTGGTGTTCTCCGTGTTGTACTTGAAGATGTTGTTTTTCTCTTGTGTATGCTGATATCTACTGTTGCAAAGTCTGTTGATATGCTAGTTGTCTTCATTTACATTTGTTAGTGTGTATGGGATAGAAGGACTAGGTCATCTGCGAAGTCCAAATTGTCTAGCTTCTTCCATATCAACACGCATTTTACGTTGTGTATTTACAACCAACCAGCATTTTAATTATACTTTCGTTCATTTGTGTTTGACAGTCATAGAAGTTGTAGTGTTATCACACTATCCGAAATCATGTATCGATCGCTGAATTTACTATTTTTCTTACTTGAGCTTATATCATTCTAATCTACTATTCTTTTGTAGTCTATGTTTTTGTCATGAGATAACTTCTGTTGTTGTTTTCGTCGAATTTAGAGCGGATTCTTCTATTTTGTTCTTAGTTTTCATCTAAAACAAAGATACCAATAGAATCACTAAGTAATCTTAGCTAGACCACCTGTAAGCACTGGACGGCCGTTTCGTCCTAGTATGGACGCGGTGGAATTCAATCCGTGTGGAGTATGAGACCGTTATCTGCGTCAAATGGTAAATGGAATTTCTATAATGTGGATTGATTGAAGTTGGACATTAACACTAGTAGATGCTGGTTCAGTAGCTTAGAGTGTGCAAGTGTTCTCGCGCGAGACCGATTCCCGTATGTGGGGTTGTAGGTGCGCACTACTGAAGAGTCCCACACTTGGACGAATCGACCTCCCAATGCTCTCAGCTTTCTAATACAGTTTTAGCCAAAATTATGATCTAAAACTGAAAATCCTAAATCTTTGCAGATGCCTTATGCTAATTTTTATTGACCTACTAAGTTTCACATAGTTGTCAGCAGAGACGTTATTTTCTCGTAATGAAATTCGTACATCGATCCTTACAACTTATAAAACAATTGAACAATATTAAAATGCACCCACTCAAATAACCATGCCATTAGTATAATTCTTTTCTATTCTTTTGAACTCGACTTTCCATAAGGAAATATATATTTCTTATTTTCTCCTTTTTCGACTTCAGGAACGTAGATTTAATCTCATGTGTTCACATACTGGTCAGCATTTATTTACATCAGCTCTAGAATCATCAGTGCTATCACATTCTTCAGCATTCCAACATATTGGTGGTACTTCTCACCCCAATTATTTCACAGTAAAAGCTGCTATTATCGGTTCAGCGTCAGAACTAATACAAGAAGATTTAGGTAATTTTACAAGACAATTAGAACAAAAGTGTCAAAAGTTAATTAATGAAAATGGATTTATTTCCATTTGGAATACAGAATTGGCACATGCTTTAAAAGTGAGTTGCGGATTTTTATTCGACATAGCATGAACTTAGTTACAAGCGTTTAAATATTTATTCATAGTATCTACGTTAAAATGTAGTCACCTGGAGTGGAGATACGTATAAATTGTTTATAGAAGACGAGGATTTATAAAACTGAATTAATATTTTTTTAATAATTCTCAGAACTGTAACCTAGGAGTCTTCTTTTTATATTATAGTAATGGTTTCTGCTTACATTCTTATCAAATTCTTGTCACCGGTAAGTAGTGCCCCTGTAATACTTAGTTATCAGCTGGTCACTTTTCAGTTGTATTTCTGAAGAAACCCAGTTTATAATATGCTTATTTATGAGCAGCTTCTGCTCCTAGATCATTGGTTTTTTCTTAATTCGGATACCCATCTTCTGTGTAATGAGGCAATGAAACTGCCCTACTGGTCTTACACCATATCACTTAGTGTTCTAAAGTATCAATTTCATTTTGTTACTCTACATGTCACGCGAACTAATAGGCAACAACGTCAGATGAATGTCACATAATTTAATCATAAAAAGTAAATATCAGTACCTTGTACAGCCGTATAGCATTTTGTTATATTTATTTCCCGTCATTGTATGATAGAAATGTTATTCAAATTATAATTATTCCTTAAAGTAATCGATCGTTCGTTCATTCACTTTTTCCCATTTGTAAATGTAAATAAATCAAGAAAGACAATTGTAACATAATAATATGAATTTGTTTATCTCACAACTCTCCAGATACTTACAACCTAGAAACAAATAGTATTAATTATTTAGATTAAACAAAGCAGTGTACATTCTTTATATCATAATATCAGAAAAGTTTTCATCAGTGTATTTTGAAAGAAAGATTAATAATTGTAGAGAAATCGTAAGAGATGGCGTTAAGTGGCTGAATACTTATTTATACGTTAGATAATCTGAACATTCCAGAAAAAAGACTTTAAGAAGCGTAGAAGCAAGTTACTAAAAAATAATATATGTTATAAGTTGTTTAATAACAATTATAAAAAAGGATTTTTTATAAGACAAAAATGTGTAAATGTCAGATAAGGTATAGAAAAGAGTAAAGAGAATAGATTTATAATTGAAAGTTCAAAATTACCTGTGATGCAACTAAATGTTGGTCATCAGCATAGTGCAAGACTGATTAGAACATTTTTCTAAATACATAAATTTACTTTAAGCCTTTTAATAGAAATCCCATCGGTCAAACTAAACAACTTGAAAATCGTTTGCTTTTTGGTAATTTTGTGTAGTTTTGAAATGTAAACCTTCTGCCACAATTAAGTAAATGATAAACGGTCGTACTATCAAAAGTATGTTGACCTCTCAGTATTAATTTCTGAAGCATGTGCTCAGAGATGCTAATATTGACTTTAGTCTCTTCCCTTCCAATGTTTGTTCTTAGATACGCACGTGTACATCCTGAGACCTAATCTTAATCTTATAATCGACTAATTTTTTGTAGTTGTTATTACGTAAGCGTTAAAGGGTTCCTACTATATTGGTACAGCTGATTATTCCTTATTGGTCAGTTGTTGGACACTGGGTATCACGGCTCACAATCACGCAAATGCATTCACTCTTTACCTTTCTTTTGACGCTTAATCCCAATACATTTTTAAACCATATTCCCAAGTTTTCGTCACCCTACTATTGCTGCTACTTTGACCTCTTTTTCTTTTTTCATTTTGTCATGATAATATGGTATGGAGACTTGTGCGAACCGACGTCTGTGCCAGGTTCTATGTATATGATGTCAGCCCGTCTTTATTGAATAAACTAAAAATCACTTCATACTATTTTTTCAAGGTGAAACAAATTCGATACTTCCCTTGGGAGGAGTATAGTGCAAAAGTACGTACTGTGTGTATAACAAAAGAAAAACATTCAATCAATGATCATGAACTAACAGATTTTAATTCTGTCATCTCAGCTGAATTGTGCGGAGGGACACATCTTTTTGAGTTATCTGATTTACTGGATATAGCGGTGGTTGCAGTTAAAGGACGTCGAAAAACAGTCAAAGAAGTAAGCCAAATTTCACTATGTATTTATGATTGAGTGTATAAACTTTAGAAGTATCTCTTCCTTGTCGCTATATACTTGTTTGTTTCGTGTGTTATTAGTTTCTCAAGTTAATATTTCACTATTCTTGTACTTTATCATATTATTGACAAATAACTATAGTTATTATCCTTAAACCATATCGAATTTCTGCTCGATAGCATCAAAATGAAAGTGTATGTATACTCTGTTACGTCAAAAAAATTAAGTTTCTTATATTCAAATAAAAAATAAATATGTATTAACTTCTGAGTATATAGTTATTCTATAATAACCTCACTAACTTACACTTACTCATTTACTAATCGTTTCCAATAGTTAACTGTGGCATAATGACTTTATCATTTATTCATGGATTAAGTGACAAATCGTGGTGAACGTGTGTTACATTTTTTTCCGATTTTCAACATTGTATCTGTTGATTTAAAATTTGAAAACCCTTCAATCAAGTTTTACTTCATATATGTTTAAGAAAACGTATATAGCTACGAGCAAATAAACCATGAATAGATAAAATCTTAAGAACAATTAATCTCCCTACGAATCAGTTGATTACATGTTACTTTTATTAATTTCATTTAACGAATAGAATTAAGTTTGTTCGATTTCGAAATTCCTGTTGTAAATCATAAATAACCTGACTCCGTAATAAATCACATAGTATACTCAAACATAGGGCTCTACTTTCGTATAGAAAAAACAAGAAAAAATGTCAGTATTCGTAAAATGTTAACTTATTGTTCTGTACATAACCAATTCTCTTAGCATCAAGTAGTTTCATAAAAAATTTCAGTTAAATTTACGGTCATGATTTATCCGTCTGTCGATATTTTAATTACAACAACGGTACGAGGCTGTCTTTGACTAGTAAGAAAAGTGTCTTATTCCAAAGCCGACTACAAAATCGTTTACAATAATGATGCTATCTATCAGCTGCTTAATTCCTTCTACTAATTGTGTAAGAGTTTTGTATTGTGTATTTTTTTTAATCACATAACATCAATATGTATTTTGATTACTTCATCTTAGTTCACTTGCATTTTTGGTCATTTGGCTAAATCTGCACATCAATGTGCTAATGAATTGATTCAAGAAGGTTTATCAAAGAAAAAGAAGCTATTCATGATCCTAAAAAAGCAGCCATTCATATGGATTGGTATGAATCTGTTTTAAATGATCCACATTATACTGGATTTCTCCCATTATATGCTCGATTAGCGTTAGAAACCAATCTTTTCCGTATCAATCATAAAACAGATATCATTGATACTGACCATGTCCAATTATACATTGATAACATGAAAATAATGATTGGAAATAATAACTGTGAAACATCTCAAGCTGTAATTTCTCAACTTGATTTTCATAGATTAGATGATGTAAGTTTCTTTAATTTATAAATGATTTTGTTTAACTATTGTTTTAATCATTTCTTTACTTTCTATATATTTCTTGAAGTATAGAGTGGTACTTATCATATCTGGTATAATCCATGGCTTCGATGTTCTCTAGAATATCCATTCATTTGACAGACGTAAAAGCAAATATAAATTTGACATTTCCATCCGATTTTCTCTTAGTTTCAATCAAAATGTATACATCTAACAGTAAAATTAATTGACATGACTTTTAAAAGAAATTGTTTTGACTATTTGATATTTCTTTACTGTCTCTGTTTTTTTTTTGTTATCTTACAGCTTATTTTTGCATTTATACAACTCAATACGACTCAACCGTTTGTTGTCTATAGTATGAATTTAGCTATTTGTTATTTTCCAAAATCACATGTAAGTCAGTGCAAAAACGTCTATTGTTTTACGTATAAAATTCAGTAAGCTTAATTAAATTAACCTATCGTTTGATTGATTAAAGGTGAATAAAATCCAACGAAGAAAATTTTCTTTTTGATGAAATCATTTAATTAAGCTGTACATTCGTATTCATAATTGTCTGTTAAATATAAATCTTATCAGAATGGGAGTTTGCGGAGATTGTAGTAATTTAATAGTTGAAATCATGAGCCGTTTAAAGCTAGACCACCATGGAAAACGTGAAAGCACTGAACGGGTTCGGGTCTCGCGTTCGGGATGTCGTGGACACACACTGCTGAGGCGTCCCATACTAGGACGAAACAGTCGTTCAGTGCTTCCAGGTTTTCCATGGTGGTCTAACTTTAATCAAATCATGAATTCAACTATTAACTACATGTCTGTAGAAAGATAGATTCTAAGGATAAACTTCCGCTGTGGACCACATCGATGTGCATTTATGAATTGACTTGCTCCTGTGGGGACAGGTTACATTGGCTGCACAAATCGATCACTTTCAAAGCTCATTTCAGAGCACTACCCGGTATAGCTTTTGAAAGGTGAATCCAAAAACAATCACTAGTTCAATACACCAGCACCTAATCAACTCTAGGAATGTCACTCCAAACAAGTTTTCCTTCAAAATAATCTAAAAAGTCAAAGGGACCCGATCGTAAAGAGGTCGAATCAAAAACTGCTAAGGCTTTGGAGATCCACATGTTCAAGCTCGAACTCTGTGTGCCAAATCGATACGTCCAACCTCTCACCCTTCCTTGGTCCTAATTTCCTTCTGCAATATGCTTGGTCTTGTTTTGTCTTTATTATTGCTTTGTAATTTAAAATCATAATTAATTAGTATTACCCTCTATCAATTTTTTCATAACTATTATTCAGTTGTCATAATGACCTTTACGTTTTTCATTTTTCGTAATACCTGTCAAGTGGACAATTTACTTTCGTAATTTTGACTCGTAAATTATTTTCATCCACCTATTCTTCTCTAACCCTCTGTTTGTGGCGCAGCGTCATTTAATAAAATAAAACTTAAAATCAATTACTGTTCACTTGAAGTCATTCGTGTTTTCTGTAACCCGCTTATTATTCTATGATGTTTTCGAGTTCAATTTATCCTGTTCATTGTTTCTCCGTCTATTATGCTAAATTGTGGCAGTAATTCGAACTAGTCATTACCCCGTCTTTTGTTTTTCTGCACTTATAATTCCCTACATCTTACTCGTTATCGTCTACCATCTTAACAAGCGTTTATTTCACGTTTAACTTTTATCTTGGTTATATGTGTCCAATTAGGAATTATTAAGAAACCCTCACCAACTGATGGAATTATATAAATTTAAGGACGTGTTTAGTTGTGAACTTCATGCTAATGATAAAAAATCGTTGTAATTCTTATATTCTAAGTCTGCAAAGTTACGGAAATCAACAAAAGTCTTGCGGATATGTTTAATAAGAATTTCCAATGCGGTTTATTCATATTTGTTCACATCCACTCATTTTTTGATTTTTTAAGGCTAATCAAACAGCTTTGAATTTGGCACATATGATAGCCAAACTTTTATCTACTGAACTTGGAATAGTGCATTTAACAGTGAAAGGTCGACCTTTACGTTCTAATCATCTAAACAATGATGACCGGTATAAATATGCGTTCCTTCAACTTTCACCTACAGCGGATACTTTTACCACGATGACTAAGATGCAACAACCATTGGATTGGAATGACTATCATACGTTGTTGGCAAAGTGTGTAAACTCAATTTTACGGAGTCCAGTTTACGGTGAAGCATAAAATGTGTAGTTTATAAACTTTTGAATATATGATAACTTGTTCTCTTTTCTTTTGTAGATCTTTCATCCCAAAATATTTACAATTCGCATATTTGTTTGTAAATTCCGTATTTATATTAAAACAATATACATTCAAACTTCTGAAAATGTTACTAACTTCTTTTTATTGCTGTTATAGCAACTTTTCACTTATGATCAAACATAAAGTGTCCTCTATCAGAATGAACGCTTCATTATAATGATGAAAAGGTTTTATTCTTTAAAAATAACGCTTAGTTAGCTGTTTATATTAGAAACAAATAATGTTCCTTGTAAAATAACTTTTTTCACAAATTTAAATGCAAAGTATTCGTCTGTATGATGATATTACTTGTGAAATATGACCTTCCTAGTCAATGAATTCAATTGGCTGAGAAAATTACAAGTTAAATGTAGAACTATAGTAAATCGATTTTTCGAATAACGGAAGGAAAGTCAAAGTGATGTATTAGAACCATTTACACTACTTTAATGTGCTTGTTAATACATACTCATAGTTGTTTATGCTGTCATCAGTTTCCTACCCATCAGCATATTAATATTTTTTTATCACTTCGAAATTCAAAGACATGTAGCAGTCATGAACTCTGGATGTTTAGCTATATAAATACTTTCTTACATAGTAAATAGATATGCACGAAGGAGAATTTATTAAGATTACTATTATCACCATATTCATATTTGTAACCAGTCGTTTTGTTGTTGCGTTTGAAGCGATAATAGGAGCGTTCCGTAGTCGGAACACGAATCCAAATAGATTTTTTATAGATGACAAAGGCTGTTGTGGTGAAGGAGCCTTTAAAGTCTTTTTGGTGATAAGGATGTAGAAGATTTTGTGGTGCTTTAAAAGTATATGATAGTATCAAGAAGACGAGTATTGTTATCCATCCAACCAACAACAAAATTGCTATGATATATTTTAATAAAGACCGAGATCGAATTGTAAATAATCGAAAATCATTGACAAAACTTCTACGCGTGAACATAGAAAACTGTATAGCTTATTATGAAATAAAGCTAAGAGTTGTATGAAAGCTTTATTCTTAAGAATTCTTCCTATCATTCATGAAATCTGTTACGGTTTAAAGTGCGTTAAATTATTAAAGGGACATTTTTGTCACATTCAAGTTTCATTGTAATCGTGAAGCAAATCTTACAAATTCAAATATGATGGGAAATTAGTTTACTTATCTATGAAACGAATGTCATAAAATCTGAGTAAAAATGCTCACTATTTTTACATTTTGTGCAATAAATTGGCTTGCATTGTTTGACCAAAACTTTTCTATTTTTGAAGACATCAGAATGGTTCACTCATCTTTTTTCCTTAGGTATTTTTAACCGAAGAATAAATTATGTGAAAGTTGTTACCACAAAAAAAACGTGATTGTTATGCGCAAAAAATATGGCTTGGATGTATGAGTAATCGAAACCGATCATTTCCCCTGAAAAGTTCGGACCGGTTCATTGAACAGAACGTTGGAGTGACTTAAAGCTCAATCTTTGAGATTACTCAGGGATATTTTTTTTATTTTATGTAATTGGATTAGAAAACTAGATTCGAGTTAGACTTCTTTCGTTTTAGTGGTTTAGATTTATCCATGTATGCCTTTACATACAATACGCTAAAAGTACGTAACACGGTCAAGATGAATATTTAGAATGGCTTTCCGTAAAACTCATTCAAGCATAGGAGTATTCTGTTATGTTGTACACATTTTTTGATAAATATGGGGTTAAGCATTAACTAACGGAAGAATGAAGTGTTGAGAATTATTCCAATTTGTCAGGTTTATTCTGCTTTCGATAGCTTTCAGGTATATTCGCTAGGGATTGTACCGTGCTAGATAATAAACACTTCCCATGATAGTTTTTTTAGAACGAAACAATACCCAGTCGAACATTTATACCATTTTAATAAGTGAATCCATAATAGGTAAAAGTCTTATAAGCGAAGAAAGTCAGTAAGTGATGATGTTCGAAGATCTTCGGGTGTATCCCAGATTGGGTGCATAGGCGGAGAGACGATGTTCAAAGCAGAATCCATATGTTTTGTATTTTCTTGTTGATTGACATATTTTACATCAGACTTGTGTGGAGTTGTATGTTTCCTTTTTTTGTTACAAGTATCTGTTAACGCGGGTTGGCACAAACCACTCATTAAGTATGTATTTTCATCTAACCAGCGATGTATTTTCTGGCTTTCAGGTCCAACTTCATATTCATTTCTGCCTATGAGACCGAAATTTATGTCATCACACCTTATAATGTTTTGTTTCAAAACAGCGTCACGATTTTGTTTTTCAACCGTTGGGAGCTCATTAAGACATTTACTGCAATTAGATGAACTTCTTGGGTAACATGACCTTATTGGGTATTCATGATGATTGTTTTTAAGCACTGTCGGTCTGCCGTGTATGCCTATTTGGCTAAATCCTTTATTACTTACCAAACTAGGGGATTTGGAATTTGTTGAGCAATTTCCTTGTAGCCGATCAAATACTTCAAGAGATAATAAGTCCAAACTCGTATGATGTATCTTGTCATTGGAGGTTGGTAGTAATGGTGTATTTAGTTTATCTTGCAACGAAAACTGAGTCTTTTTGTCTTTGCTTTGTTTTTCTGAATCCGATGGACAAGATTTTGATTGATTTTCGATAGTGTTTGGACTTACCAATTGCCCCTTAAAATTGTAGGAGAAATAATATTAATGTATTACTTATTTGTTTTACTTTAAATGAAAAATTAGTAAATCGATAGTTATAATAATTAATATATATATATTATATATATATATATATATAGGCAACAAATTGCATGCTTATACATACTGAAAGTAGTCCGGTTACCTTAAAACGTTAAGATTGGCGATTTGAGCAGGATAGCATGAATTCGCCTTAGTTTGTCATTTTTTTCGGTTGTTTTAAGTTTGTGGTATTTCAGAATCGGAATCCCCACTAGACTTTCACGTACTTATGGAAATGAAATTAATGTGAATGTTTATGAGCTCGGTGTAGCAAAGATTCGAGTAAAATTCAAAAAACGAAATAAATTGTTCTGAATAGCATATATAACATTTTATTCAAACCTTTAGAGTCTTTTGTAGATATTGTTTTTGAATCGATCAACTAATACATGAATAACAACTAAACGACTATCATACGCTATATCGTAATTACGATTTCCGAAACTGTTTAGATTTCCAAGTGTCTCTCTTTTCTTCAGTGATGTAAAATGCTGTTTATCAGTATGATGTTGGGATTTCTTATTAGTCTGTTTCAAAACCACATGACAGGTTGTTAGAATATTTCGTATTCTTTTTTTATGTACTACCAAATCAACAGAAACATCCCTACCAAGATGAAAGTTTCACAAAGACCTCCTGAACCCATCATTATGACTAGCTATCAGCAGTAATTCTTGGTTTTATTTCGTTAAATTGATATTGTAATCTGTACACTACATGTAAACTGGATAAATGTTTACCTTATATGCTGAACACATGTTTAATGTCATTACGAAATGCAGACTGGGCACTTTCATTTATGGGTCTGGTCTATCGACATTCTACAATCGATAAGCTTCCTTCTCATTACCCTTTATATATAAACCAAGGTATATTACAGAATACAATAAATGAACAAGTTTTTAAAACCTTGTGTTGTTGTATCACCATCTATGGACTAGTTTTTTATTTAACGTCAATATCTCCCTATAGGTTTTCTTATTATTTTGAAAATATATGAATAGTACCTGTTCTGAAGGTATTCTGAGAACTACTCTTTTCTAATGACTATAAGTAAATAACTTCAACTATATAATCCTGAATATAAAATCCAGTTATTCTAATTACAATCAAAGTATATGGAACTTTTTCCTTAACAATGCTAGCACTTTTTTCCGATTACCATGATTATTCTTTGTCTCGTTTTTTGGAAACCAGCAACATAAAATGTGAGTACATGTTTAGATTTTAGATTTTGGAAAATATGAAGTGTGCATGATATCAAATTACGTCTATGCTCTAATTTATGTGTGTATATCATCTCTTTGAATAGTGTATCAATTTATAACCCAAAATAATTAACTGTATGGGTGTCATTTAAGCATCTGTAATAAGATAGTGGTTAGAGGTAGTCAACAGGAAACTCTGGACCCGGGTTTCGTGCTACTTGACACTCGTCAGCAAGGTGTACCTGTAATCTTGAGGAAACTGGTGCACCCTGACGGATTCAATCCCGTGTCATCCAGCTTCACAGTCAGAGACGTTACCACTGGGCTATCCGGGCCGCGACTGACCTGTAGGACTGAGATGTAATCACAGTTGATTGATCACTGGGTGGTGATCAATGTCATGTGTGTCAAGTCCTTCTTAGTGTGGATCGAATGCTATCGAAAAAGTTGCAATGTGACCACTAGTCTAGATGACTCGACATTGCGTGTACTATGTTGAGATAATATGGTGGTTGGAGGTAGTCAACAGGAAGCCCTGGACCCGAGTTTCGTGCTACTTGGCACTCGTCAGCACCAGTTCCCCCAAGGTTACAGGTACACCTCACATTGCAACTTTTTCGATAGCATTCGATTCGCACTAAGAAGGACTTGACACACATGACATTGATCACCACCCAGTGATCAATCAACTGTGAAGCATTTGTAATGTTTTTAGATTATCTTACAAAACTGAACTTCTGAATCAAGGGAAGCTTAATGCTTATAATTATTAAAATATCTAAATTTTCTATTTTACAGCTAACCGCTCACCTGTAAATGATCCTCTTCATATGATTCTTTCCTTAATCGTTTTTTCAATAGGCATTCATTCTGGTTTGAGTGGGTTAAATTTGAAGTTATTTGTTTTGAACAACTACTAATGATATGTTGATCTTTGGATGAGTTTTCATTCACACTTTCATCATGGGCATTTTCGTACTCTTTTATCCATTGTTCTAAACCCAATTTCGAGAAGATTTCTTCGAGATTACCTGATATATTAGCTTTAGCACTTTTAAGTGACTTATGAACAACTTGAAATGTATTCGGTGGAGCGTTTCCATCCTCTTTGTTAGCATTATGGGGAGAACTGTCTGTTAATTTTGGAGGAGCCTCAAGAAAACAATTTTGTACAAACTTCAATGACTTCCGCAACCATATAGGTATGTGTCGAAGATCAGGTGATTTACTTTTGTCTGTACTTAATAGAAGGGACACTTCTGTCTGACTTGACAGTTTTTCACATTTGAAACCTGATTATGCTTTTCCTTGACATCACTTTTAACGGCAATATTCCTTGGTTTTTTCCTTAAACATGAGAGTATGCGAAAACATTATTCCAGTCTGCCATCGATTTAAAATTACTTAATGCATACAAGTTTTCATGTCGAGGTTGGTTATACAAAATCATTTTGGAATGGTTCTCCAGTGAATATTCACCACAAAATATGACACTGGATTAACATAAGGTTCAGTATTCGAAATAAAGAATTCACATACGAGTGAATGAAATGGGTTTCTTCCGAAGGAAATCATGTAGTGAAGCCGCATCACCGGATGCTGCAGTCATATGTCATTTACGAGAGTACACTAACTGAAACATCGTTTCATAAAATGTTATTACTTCGATATTTGATATTAAAGAAACGTATATAACGCTAGCATACGATTCTGTGACTTCATAAAGGTTTACCTTGTAAACTCTAAGGTATGTATATTATCTACGTGTTACTGTTTCATGGATGTCCAGATCTATCTAGTTACAGTTACATTTATAACTCTGTTTGTATGAGTTTAGTATTTTAATAATCAGACTGTTGTTGTCCCTAAAGATATACAGATCAATATAAAATAATCAGTAATCGAGTATAGTTTCACAAAATGTAGTTGATTGCTTCCAGAAGTCAGTTTAAGAACAACATTCCGAGTTATAATCTATGTATCTACAAGACTAAACTTGAAAGGTGAGAGTTCATTCAACACCTAGAATAAATTATTTTCTCAGAGAAGCTAAAAATATACTTTACATCCAATATTAACCTTTTATATCAATCACGATTAACTCATAAGAAATCAAATCTTTGTAAGATGCTATAAGAATTTCATTTAACAATCACTAGTTGAAAACATGGGACAGAGTATATATATATGATTTACCTCTGTATAAGTATTGAACTTTTATATCCCGTCGGTTTCACCGGTAGCGTAATTCGTGGTTCCTTTTTAGAGTGTAGACTGATTTGGTTCCAATGTTTCTCTGTTTTTATTGAAGAACTGACTAAATCAATATTATTGAAAATAGCTTTCAGAAGGGAAAATATTTGAGTTATCGTTAAGTAATTTCTGAATAGATAAATAAAAATAAATGCTGCCTGACGTAGCAAATACTTCAATGTCAAAAACTTACAGTATAAGCAAAAAAGTAATCATTTGAGCATAAAATCAGCAGACAGTTCCGAAATTCTAGCTTTAATCACTTTTGACCGTTTAAGAATGAGCTCATGTTCCATAAATTTGATTCAGCGACATTTATTATAGTTTGATTGACCGAAATAATCTATGAGTCGGGTACTATTATTTTTTTTCTTGACTTGTTGTCGGTATGTATTACAAACATATCCTTTGAAGCTACAAGACTTAAACTGCACATATATGTTTAACTTGTGCACAGTTCGCACCAGTCGACAAATGCTTCGTACATTTCTGCCTATCTTATTTACGTTCATTATAACTCATTCATCTGTGTTCACAGTCTTCTGTCTTTATATCCTGATCCACTTGCAATTACTGACGTACATACTTGATAACTTTGGGACTTTATCTCAGCATTTACAAACAATACTATTAGTAATTCTAAATGGACAACTGTTTCACCTGAAATGGATGAAAAAGGTTAATCAATCACTTTCACGAATTATGGTTTAGAATAACAGCCCATATCCGTAGACCACAAGGCACCAAATCCAGGCTTCCTAAGCGTTAACAATTCAAACTAGTCAAAACTTAACACGCTAATTGTAATCACACTAATATTCACTTTCTGTGCATTGGTAATTAAAACTCTTGGAGACCGAGATAGTTATGGAGTAACAACCTATGCAATTATTGCATAAACAATAAAGTTAATTGAAATAAGTGAAATAGCAGCAAAAAACAACAGTTATTCACGTTCTGTTTTATTGAAATGTGTTTCTAAATAGACTAGTTATTAGAAAGTTGGTAGTTGAGTACTCTGTCAAAGAAACGTCGACTGAGACATTGTCTTATTTATTTGAACACATAAATATTGGTACAAGAATGCGCCAAATATATATGCGCCACACAAAACAATGAGAATTTAGGGGAAGGAGAAAAAAGAGAATAATAACGAAGAGACTGATGTAAGGTGGTGTGATAACAATAATGGTAAAAATGGGGGAACGGAAAGATACAGTCAGAAGAAATCTTTCAGTTAAGGAAGATACAACCACTTTTACGAAGAAAGTAAAAGAAGGTTACAGCAGGATCGCCACTGGCTTCTATTCTGAGCCATATCTGATAACGTCTCTAGCCACTGTGTAGCACCATCTCTCGGACCCCAACCAGGGAGTCGTGAAGGACCAACACAAGCCAGTCCTTTGCAGCTTTCTTTCATGCCACGACACCATGTCATGCACTGACCACCTCTCCGCTTCTTCCAACCAGTCCCAGAGTCGGCAAATAATGCACGACGTGGAATTCTCTGGGACGACATTCGGAGAACATGTCCAAGCCACCGAAGTCGGTGTTTCAAGATGGTGACACCAATTGATTATCATCTCTGTGCCCGAACACACGATGCCGAACCTCTGCATTACTGACATGGTGTTGCCACTGAATGTCAGCAATCCTTCGGAGACAGCGATGATCGAACACAGAGAGTCGTCTAACGTCCTCAACTCGGAGAGGCCAGGTTTCACAAGCATAGAGCAAAACTGCTCTCACCGACGCGTTGTAGATCCGACCTTTTACAGCCAGACTAACATCACGAAGGCGCCAAAGGTGGCCCAGATTGGCATAAGCCGCTCTGGCTTTCACTATTCGTGCATTGATCTCATCACTCACACCCCCACCAGCACTTATGCAGCTACCCAGATACACGAACTTCTCAACTACGTCTATCTGCTCACCATCCAGGGTGAGTACAGGATTAGAATCCTGCCAGTCTTGTAGAAGTACTTTGCACTTCGAAGGTGCAAAGCACATACCATACCTACGGACACTGATTGCCAACTGATTAAGTGCGGATTGCATGCCTTGGGCATTATCGCACAGTAAGACAATATCGTCCGCATACTCAAGGTCGAGAAGTCTTTCTCCAGGCAACAGATCCACACCACCATTACTTACATTCATCAGAGCTGTTTCCAGAATGTCATCGATGGCAAAGTTGAAGAGGAATGGTGAGATTGGGCAACCCTGCCTAACCCCACTGCTCGAATGGAACAATGGAGAGAGGTGGTTGTATGCCCTCACTCTGCCTGAGGTGTTTTTTATAGGGCTTTTAGGATGTTAATAAACTTCTCAGGCACACCCTTCTTCAATAGACAATCCCAGAGAACAGTCCTGTCCAACGAATCGAAGGCAGCCCTGATGTCAAGAAACACTACGATTGTTGGCCTTTGATAAGTATGGCGGTGTTCTAACATTTGGCGGAGGGTGAAGATATGATCAATACATCCTCGACCAGAACGAAACCCAGCCTGCTCCTCGCGAGTCAATCTTTCTCGGGTTTTGAACAACCTACGAAGTATGACGGAAGCCAATAGCTTGGACGCAATCGGAAGTAACTTATCCCCCGATAGTTGTTACAGGAACGACGTGAACCCTTTTTAAAGATAGGGACAACTATCGACTCATTCCATGACGTTGGTACACTCTCTAGTTCCCAAACCTTTGTAAACAACGTCGTCAATTCCTTAGTCAAAAAGTCACCACCATCTTTAAAAAGAGCCGGAGGTAAGTCATCTGGGCCAGGTGATTTGTAACGCTTCAAGAGTTGGAGTTCCTTGCGGACTTCCTCCTCATTTGGTGGATCAGTCGTCACCGGCCATGGAGGGCAGGACAGTCTGACCGATGTTGCCGGAGCAGCAGGCCAGTTGAACTGCCCTTCGAAAAATTCTGCCCATCGTCCAAGACGTCGATGGATGTTAGTGATTGGCATCCCATCATCCTCGCAGATTGTTTCACTCACACCAGACTTCTTGCTGCCAGTGGCTCGGATGAGCTGGAAGAGCTTCCGGTAGTTACCAGATGCAGCTGCTGCTTCCAGCTCATTAGCACGCTCGACCACCAGGCTTCTCGGTCCTTACGCAAGCTTTGCCCAATTTCCTTACGTAACATCCTTCGTTTATGGTCAAACTCACGGTCACCCGGAGTAGACCGACGGGCTTCAATGAGTTGTAAGGAACCAGAAGAAACCCAGTGCTTAAAGCGGGACGTTTCGCAAACCCACAACTGACTGTTCCCGCCATTTTCATGGCGTCATGCAATTGCAACCAATGCTCATCTATACTTTTCGGTGGAGTGGTAGCTAGCCTAGAGGCTAGCTCGGTTCGATACTTACTTGCAACAGAAGTTGCAACCAGCTTGCTAACATCAATCCGTTGGTGGCGTCACTTCGTTGTCCACTGAAAAGTAAGGCAAGATTGGCGCAGACCAAGGCATGGTCAGAGTCCAGATAGGTACTCCAAAAGGAGCGGCAGTCTTGTACACAACCACGCCAGCGGTAGCTGATCGCGATGTGATCAATCTGAGTCCAGGCTTGAGATGCAGAGGGAGGACGCCAGGTGGCACATCGGCGATGACTGTGCCGAAAGTTAGTGCTAGCCAGAAACAGGTTGTGGTCTGTGCAAAGTTGCAGTAGACGGTCCCCGTTATCTGACCTGCGACCAACGAGTCCCCATCGGCCACCTAAACGACTCTCTTCTGTGCCTAGACGCCCGACCTGAGCATTCAAGTCTCCGGCTAGTACTACTGTCGAACGCACTTTCTGGAGAAGAACAGATAACTGGTGGTAAAACTCATCCTTGATTGCATCCGGGCTGCAATCTGTCGGGGCATAGGCGGAGATGACGAAAAGACATCGTTTCTCACGCCGATTTCTTCTCACTTTGATGGAACTTTCTAATCTAACAGCACATAACCGACTGTTAATGGGGATCCAATCGACTAGTGCTGCCTCAGCTCTAGCGCTTAGTGCGACACCAACGCCAGCAAGACCAGACGAAGATGCCACAGGGTCCCCGGATAAGCGCACGTAAAACAAGCTTTTCGAAGCGACAGATGGAGATCGAATTTGTAGTACTTCGCCAGAGTCTTGAATACGGGTCTCGGATAGACAACAACATCGATATTAAGACTTTCCAAAGACATAGCCAGCCCTATCTGTTGTCCGACCTGCATAAATGTGCGAACGTTGAAGGCAGCCAGTTTGAATGGTGCACGTGGTTTCAGAAAAACTGCTTCAGTCCTCATATTCGGTGGTAACATACAATTTTCAACCGGACAGTGACTCGAGAACGTTTAGATACAGTCGGATTTCCACCAAAGACGAGCCGCTGTATAAGTATAAAAGAGGGTGAATAATGTGGAAAATAATAATAATAATAATAATAATAATAATAATAATAATAATAATACAATAATAATAATAGTATTAATAATGACAATAATTGTAATGATAATAATTTGAATCAATTGATTGTTTTTCGAAGCGAGAAAAGTAATTTCCATAGACATAAAGAGTTCATCATTTGTGTGTGGGCTGTGATACTGCCCGGGTGCCCAAACCGAAGCAGGTGGTTATCTTAGGGGGCCACACCCCGAGCCTTTGACCTAAAGGTCTAACCCACAAGGCAGTGGAGCATCGTAAGGAGATGCAGTCCCATGGTAGCCGGTGACCAACGATTGGTTCATACGCCATTTGTTCCCGCAGGATACTGGAGCCCATGTGCACCATTGGTTTGGGATCCGGTTAAAGCGCCGGACATTCGCTTTTCGTCCTCTCATTTTCGTAAACAACACCCCCGCCACGAGAAGGCAATGAGTAGGACTTCCCTGGCAGAGGCTGTATACGCGTGGCCGTGTGAGAGTATTTCGAGAAGGAGGGCGGACCCACCCCACTCTCGGCCATATCAGGGCATTATGTGGCCATTGTTTGCACTCAAACTTTAGTCAAAGAGTACGAGAATGATATCACCATATCAGCGTTGTAATAGGGACGGAATTGTCGAAACCTGTAACGGCAAATTAAAATAATCTACTGCCCAGTTAAAGCAAGATTCAAAACGAGAAATTTAGTTAGTCTTTTGAATTAAAATCAGCCTAGTACTTTTCATACATCCAGTCACTTCATCTGATAAATGGTCCAAAATCTTTTCTAAAACTAGATGGGTATACTTTTCACGAAGCCATAAATTCTTAAATTCTTTCCATATCACAATTACGTCACGATAGGTAGCAGTAGACAATTGTCCCGACTTATCAAGGAAACGGGTATTAGAAATCTGGCTGTTAGTGAAACTGTCAAGGAAGTAGTAAAAACCGATATTCACTCCTAATCCAGAAGAATGAACCGATGGACAGAACGCTTTGGAAAACAGTTCAACTAGCTTTGGGCCACACTTTAGTTACTCAATATCTTCTAGAAACCTGAGTGACAAATTGAGAGCAACAGGGTCTGATCGACTAAGCCTTGAGATTTTTAAGGATGGTGGTTTAGTTTTAGAAGTAATATTCACTGAGATCTTAGCTTAAATCTGTGAACCGGATCTAATCAAATCTAAGTTGTCTCGATCGGTGATCGTCCGAGCTTATAAGAAAGGACTCAACTCCTCTTGTGATAATCACAGAAAAATCAGTTTAACTAATGTAGTTTCTAAAAATTCAGCCTTAGTAATACTTCAACGTCTACGTAGAGCTCCTGAAGAGCAAACCCGATAGAGCCATGCTAATTTCAGACCTGGATATGGATGTATAGATCAAATATCCACACCCTACGGCAGCTTCTAGAACTTAGAAATGCATTTCAACGTCCAGTTGTAGTTGTATTTCTGAACTACACGGCGGTGTTCGACTCCGTTGACGGTACGGTTATGTGGCAACACCCCCTATTAGAAGACCTACCAAAGAAATGTATTAATCTTGTACAGGCTCTGTACTTGAACATTATTGTTTGAGAGCCTACGCTAAACTGTCATCGAAAGTGATGCAACTAGTTTTCGTTAGGCTTGCCAACTTTCCTCATTTTTACTTAACTTTGTCATTGACATAGTTTTAGGGATAACACATTCATCGCCTGAATTTTTGGGCGGTGATCTGTCAAGAGATTCGCCTGTTGTCTTAAAATACGCAGATAACGTAGTTCTATTTGGTGGACGCTGAAAAATTCGGAGTCTTCTGACCTCCATAATCAACAATTCAAGCATGTTTGGGATACGGTTCGTTCCCTCTAAGTGCAAAGTGTCACTTCAGGATTTGCTTGTGTAATCGCCCGAATTAATGATAGGAAGTGAAGTAGTTGAGCGTGTTGACTGCTTCACTCAGCTTAGGAGTCTCATTGGTACTGATAGTCCGGTATCTGACGAAATCTCGACACGAATTCAGAAGGCTCGATTGGCTTTTACCAAGTTGCTTCACTTGTAGCGTGGGCGATACATCTGTCTGCCAACTGAAGGACGAGTTTACTGTACAGCAGTTCACTCCGTCCTACTTTATCGATGTAAAGCATGGCCGATAAGAATAAAGGATATTCTCAAATTACTAGTCTTCGATCATAGGTGTCTTCAAAGCATTACTTGTGTATTTTGGTATTATTAAGTGAAGTCTGTATTAAGAATAGTGTACTAGGTAGTGGTGGTAAATCGATTGATGAGATTATAAATCTTCATAAAATGAGGTGGTTGGGACATGTGTTACGTATGTATAACCACGATGTGCTTGGACGGGCGATGTTGGATGGTGTAAGAGTAGGCTGAAGAAAAGCTGAGGACGACCAAACCGAAACATACATTTAGTCGATGAAAGCACTGACGATTGTACTGTTAGTAGGTGCAAACTATGTGGTTGTAACCCGTGGGATTATCTCAACCGGTGGTTGAAGTCTCTGGATGCCATGGCTTGAAATCGTTTTCGTCGTGCATTAGAGTCGGTCCTTTTTCTCCTCTAAACTCTAAGCATCTAAATTCCTTGGATCGTAACTTCGAAGCCTAATCTTTTTGATTACCGCGGAAATTGTTATTGCTACTGCTATTCTAGAATTTGCCTTGATAACTCCATATCTCCGTTCTATTGGAATATGGTAAGCGATGTACTTGTGCATCAGGTTGTACATTGTGACTGTCTGGTTCAAAATCGAATAGTTTCTAAAACCTGTGTACCTGGTACAAAATATAATACTCTCTAGGGTTTTTTAGTCCAACATTGATGAGCACATTTAACTATATTAGCTTAAGATGGATGTAATTTAAGAATCAAACAAACGAAATAATAATAGAATAACGGAAAAATAATGAAATTATTTACAAAAATATTGAGGCCTACATTTTGGATTGAGCAGTGAACGACCATATTTCCTAAATGTATGATCCTTACTGTTGAGACTCTGTTGATAGTAACCCTTTGGATCACGTCCACTAGATACAGACATTGTCAAACGCTCTTCGTGTAAGCATACATAGTTTTTAAATAAAAAAGTAAGAACTAATAAATATTTAGTCGGCATAAGTCTAATTAATGCTCTTGAATGGATAATAATGAAGATGGGTACAAAATTCACAAGTCTGAGTAGCTTGACGCTGCAAACCAGTACCAGATGTGAGTCAGTGATCAAATAGTGATACCTTCAACCTTACGCAAATATTTGGATGATATGCGTGAAGTACATTCAGGAATAAAAGAGGCATCCGTAGCTACAGTAATTTCCCTGAAGCCTGAGATGAGACTTGCTGTTGATTTTAACAATATGACTATGCATGCTGATCGAAACTGACCTGGCTGAATTGAGAACTTAGAACATGAAGTAAGTCACAGATCTTAGGACGACAGTAGTGAGACTATAATTTTTGGACAGCCTATGATCGAAGCTGAAGTGACTTTGAGAGTGTCCACTCAGTAACTAGGACCAAATGAGGACTACCAACATTGTGGGGATTAGAATTATGATTTCTAGTTGATGGTTGAGGTTAGGAAATATATATTTGGGGTTTTCAGCACGAAGTAACATCAGCTATAATGACAAGACTCTAGTTAGCCAAATGTATGAGTAAATTTCCCGCCAAAATCCGAGACCAGTTTCTTATACGTGATTGGTTCGTTTATAAATTATAGTCTCACCACGACAATTTATTTGCAAAATATATTTGTAGAGTCGTGAAGTTGAATTATCTTAAAATCACACAAAGATCAAAATAAATTTGCGGGAAGGATTCAACCTTGAAAAAGAAGCAAATATGATAAATATTCGGTATAAACTAGTACGGATTAGCAGTCCAAGTAATGTTGGATGATTATCAAATTAGCGTCACTTTCGTTCCCATGTTTTCAAGGGAAATAGAAGGCTCCAGGAACCCAGTAATTCGGAACTGCGGCTCACTAATGTGAAGGTCTATGCAAACTAACCGAATCCCCGATTCAGTCTGTATATTTCAATGAGACTAAATTTGACGACAATTGTATTTCGCTTTTGTGACCTAGATAGCAGAACCGAACGGTTAAAACGGGCTTACTGGGGACGTATACTTACTGAATGTGTCGTTAGTTTCGTGCTTTAAATCAAGTCCGCATTTGAAGGTCTCTAAATGGTTAGTTGTCATTTCAAAGCTTATTAAATTTGGTATTTTGATTAACGAGCCTTCCCTATGCTTGCCAATATTATTACGCTTTAGGTGGGATCGCAATCTGTCGAAAACCGTGAGCACATAAATAACGTCTTGAGAGATTTGAGCTACGCCCTTCGACTGTAATAGAATATAATATATTGCGTGGCATGAAATAAATTCATACATTATATCTAGCAAATGAAGTTAAACGGAAGTCAGGTTGAATATATCGAGACATTTCCTTCGTAAACACTAACACGAAAATTAAAAACAGTATTTCTATTGTTTTAGAAAAACAATGTTTACCGTTTTGCTAATAGACTAAAACCTCTCTCAAGAGCGATTATAAATAACGGCTTTGAAAGTTTGCCTGTTATATCGTTAAAACAAAGTACACTTTTGTTTTATATGAGTTTGTGTTGTACTTTCATAATTAACTACTATTAAAGTAAACTTTATTTCGATCTAAAAATATAATTGTAAACACTTGAAAGGTTTCCATGATGTTATTTTATGTATACTAGATCATATTGTCAATAGATTTGTTGAGTAATAACATGACTAATATTTGCAGCCAAGAATCAATAAGGCGACAAAATTCGTCCTTGAAATTAGGTTGCATATAGGACTTATTAAGATAGATGAACTTTGGTTCACAGAATTAGTAAACTCTATATTACTTAAAATGTGGATCTGAGCCTTAGGAAGACAATAGTCATCACATGGAAGTATAATCACTGAGATTCAAGAACAGAAGAACAGATGGGTAGAATAGTTTGAGGAGCACTTGAATAGACCAGCTCCATTGAATCCACCGGTTATCGAAGCAGGATCTACAGACCTATCTGTAGATATCAATCCATCAACAATCGTTAGGATCAGGATGGACATCAGACAAATCGAGAGTGGGAAATCAGAAAAACCTGCCAATATACCAGCTGAGAAACTAAAGTCAGACAAAGAGGTAAATGCAAACATGCTCCATAAGTGTCTATTAACTGGAAAGAAGAATACCTCATCAAGATGCCGAAGAAAGGATATCTAAGCAAATGTAAGTAAATGTAAATGCGAGGACTGGCAAAGCAATGGTCACGTTCCTGCAATTGAAGAACACTTGAAACTCAAAACAACTATCAACCAATATCAAAGGCGGAATCTTCAATACGAACATGAAGACTGTTGTATTGTACAGAGATGAAACTTGGAGAACTACTGTAGATCACCAACGTAGATGATCTATGTCGAATGATTGGAGGCCTACTCGAGTTGGACGGGAATGGTGTGATGAAACGTCTAAGTTCGAATTCATACCTCACGGTCAGCACCTAACGTAGATTACCCCTTTGACGTATCAAAGTACTATGGCTGCTTTGAAGACCGTATAACACCGAGTTAGTTATTACGAAAATATATTTGTTAAGGTAGATACAAGCGAAAGTAAGACCACCGCCGCATCGGCCTGTCCATGGTGTACGATTGACTGATGAGCGTTGCTTGTCCTTTTCTTTAACGGGTATCGATGATCTGTTCGATATTCAGTGACCCAACTGTTGGATGATTTGGCTAGGGCTTAGTGACATTTCACTGACCCTACACTACCACAACCATCATCAAAGGGGTACAAGTATTTATGAACAGTTGTATACGCAATATATTCAGTACCCGTTGGTTGGATACCATCAGCAACAGACTGCTGTGACAAATCAGATTTCAGACGAAGAGAAAATTAAACAAAGACGTTGAAAGTGGATAGGATATACATTGCGGAAATCATCAACTGCATCACGAAGCAAGTGATAACTTGGAATCCTGAGTGGACACGGAAAAGCAAAAGCCGAAGTACACATTACACTGGGAATCGGAAGCAGGCATGAATAGGATAAACATCAACCGGAAATAACTGAAATGAATGCTCAGTACACAGTTTGAAGGAGAGTGCTGTTGAGCGCCCTATAATCCCCCATGAGGGGTAACTGGCGTAAGTATATATATATATATATATATATATATATATATAATATGGTATGTGGAGGTTTGTTCAAAATGAACTTTGAATACCGTTATAAGCAAAAATGGATTGAACTATTGTCTGTCTGGATTTGGTTTATTAATCGTACATCTATGACAAGTTGTTTGATTCAAGAATATATAGAATTATGTCGGTATATATTTGCCTCTGAAATTCGGATAAAATAACAATACATTTCCGTATGTTTCTTTATATGATAATTGAGCTGATAACAATGTTCCGATTTCTTAGTCACAGAAAACTGACGTCTGTAAAACGTTTAAAATAAGTATTTCACTGAAATCTCTCTCAACACAAATTATGATAAGAAAATCAAAATTGTTCCAAAATATCATAACATTTTTCTGACCATCACGAGTAATTTTATTTTTTGGTTTATCTTGGTAGTGTATCGCCTTCGGAGTTGTTTTTATCAAAAAATTCCGATTGCTATTTATTTTATCTCCCGCTGCTACAATTCCTTTTTCTCCGAACTTCCTCCTCTTTAGTATTTTTTTTTCATGTGGATTACAAACGAATCATTCCGCAACTCAGACTGTTTAACTTTGTGAACTTAGTATTTACAATATACTAGATGCTGCATAATAAACGTTTACAAAAAACGCTTAAAAATCACCTTAGTGAGTGAGTGTTTTGTTTCAAAGAACGTTGTTCAGAAGTCTAGTGAGATTCTACACTGATGTTAAATATATGAGCCACCTGACCTCACTTTATTGATCGAAATGTATCGTCTTTATTTACTAGTCATAAGTAAACAATATCAAATAATACCGTAATATAATAACACACTCTTCTAGCTATGATTCTAAATAGTCTTTCCATATGACATCACATTTTGATGGAAATGACTTTCATAATAGGATAGCTGTTTAACAGTTGGACTACAGATGACTAAATAATTCTCATGCTCTAATTATTTCAGTTTAATCTGTTATTTATTGATTCGATTTCTTTTACATGTCATTAGTTATATTAAATAGTTTTAGGTAAAACTGATGTCGTTTTATATCATTTGAATTTTCATTTCATGCATATACACGAATTATTTTATAGAATCACGTGTCCACTAAAACAGTTGATCTGACTCGAATATAAATTTGTGACTTGTATATTCATTGGTGTTAATAATATAGACTCTTTAACTTGTCATTATTAATATCAGTATTCATTTAGAAGATATATATATATATAGGGAGAAACAGAGAACCCGATCCGTAAAAAGAGATTTAACAAAATTGACACTAGTCACTACATAGTAATCAATAAATTATAAATATCTGAATCTTACAGATGACTAGTTGTTGCGCAAATAGTTCAGTGGTAACGTCGCTGCCTGTGAGATTGGATGTTATAGGTTCAGACCCTCCAGAGAATATCAGTTCCCTCAATATTACAGGTACATCTTGTTGCCAACTTACGCGAAACATTGATCTAGAGTTTACTCCTGACTCCTTACGACTAACTTTACATTTCAGTTATAAGAACGTCTTAGTTTATTAGTAGTAATGCAACACCTATGAAAGTGACAGTCATCTATAACAATTCTAGCCATTATTTAATATGACAGTTTTGTAAGTCAGCTATTCATAAACAACTTAAGATTATAAGATATTTAAGAGGTGACAGGAAAATCACTTTTAATGTTCTGTTCTAGACATAAAATAGACTTTTCCAACTTACAAGCAATTATACTGGTATCATTAGTCTCTCTAGACTTCAAATATGTAACATCGGTAATTATAATCTAGCACGAAAATGCAGACTTGAGGGTCTGCTGACCATTGCCTCCAACCATTTAGC